AGAATTGAAAATTCACCACTAAAAATGACAACAACGCCTCTCCAGTCTACTCTCATCGAAGAAAAATCTCAGATACCCCGTTTCCCTCACAACTCTTAAAAATACCCCTTCCCTAGTCGAAAAGTCCCAAAATTAAAAATAAAAACCGTTGAAGGCTCCCAAAAACGAACAACTTTATCAATTCCAGAACTAGCAATTAAACATCTATCAGGATGTGGTTGAACACAATTAACGGTAAAATTATCTCCCTTAAAGAAATAATTGAGAAAAAAATATTTAAAAAAAATTCAAACCTTTAAAACTTTAACAACTTTTTCAGTTTTTCTTTCCCAAATAAATATTGAGCCACAATCTTAAAAGAAATTTTTTTATACACTTTTAAAGTCAAAATAAATATTTGCGGATAAAACTTGCGGATCTTTAGCCGCAAATTCTTATGAAATTTTTTTGAAAAGAATAGCCAAACCCAACTTCTAGGAATTCAATTTCGAGTTTAAAATACAGTTAAAAATTTGCAAAAAAAATCAAAGATGCCAAAAAGAGAGAAACAGAGGAATTTGCCCAACAAGAGGAAGTGACGACTTACAAAATCAAATCGAAAAACACTTTGTGACCTATTTGGTTTGTATCCCCATTTTTTAAGCCTCAGATTGTTGTCTAACAAAAACTAGAGAGAAAAATCCCTCCTACCAATCTCCTCTAAATAAATAAAAAAAGATAAAAGTTAACTAACCACTTCCAGCAACAATATATTGATCATCCCCACCAAACCAACTAGCTTCTTTAATATCTGTATTTATATTTAAATGTCCAGTAAATCTATCAATATAATCTCTAAAATCATTTAAAGTCCAATTTAAAGATTCATCTGTTAAAAAATAATTTTTAAAGAAAAATAAAAAAATTTAAAAACCTTCTTCTTCACTAATTTTTCCAATAATTTGTTCAGCAGAGGTATCTTCAGGATGTAATTTTTGATAAAATGAGAGGCACTCTTTTGCAAGCTTTAAAAATAGAGGAAAAGGTAAAAATATAAATATTAAATTAATTTATAAAAATTAAAAAAAATTAGTTTTTGTCCGCAAAAATTTTTGTTGTCCGCAAGTTTTATCCGCAAAAATTTTTTTGTCCTTACAATCAGAAAAGCTTTTAAGGCTGTCATTCGTTGAGTTCATGTAACCCTAGTTATGTAACCTTTAAGTAACCTAAAGTAACTATATCTCTTCCCTTACCTTATAAAGAAATATTTTTGCGGACAAAACTTGCGGACTTCGACCACACAAAAAATATTTAAAAAAAACAAACGTTAAATTGATTCAAGGCATACAAATTTTTAATTAAATTTTGATGAGCCATTTTACATTTTGGATTAATTCTCAGAACAGATAAATAATCTTTAATTGCATCAATTAAATCCCCTTTCCAACTTCTTTCCATAAAACAGCGTCCTCTAGTTAATAAACATTGAATTATTAAATTTGAATTATTTAAAATGTGTGAAGATATTCGATCAGAAATAATTTTGTTGGTTGAGGAAAGAGTGAATATTTGTTTTGATAAACTTAAAAAAATAAAAATTTCTTGGGTAAAGTTTCAAAAGTCCGTAAGTTTTATCTGCAAATTTGTCAAAGGCACTAATTCCTATTTCTTTCTTTTTACAAGGACGCAGATCCCTTACAAGGACGCAGGGTGTCCCTTTCCAAAACGCCAAAATAGGGCGAAGGGACTCAAAAATAGGGCAAAAATATGGCGAAAAGTTCAAAAATAGGGCAAATGCCCTGTAAATAAGGCAAAAGGGACACCCTGACGCAGGTCACTACACAAGGTTGGTCTGGAAATGACGAAGTTATCTAAAATTGGAAAACTGCCATAATTGGATTCATCGTAAATTACCAACAATCACAAGTCAAAAGAGTAACGACGAAAATTGGAAGCCTTTCCAAACTTGCGAATTTTTTGGAACTTGCGGACTTTATTGGACTCTAATGGAAAATAAAAATAATAAATACCCATTTTTGATTAAGTAACAATTTAAAATTTCAGAACAATTATCTATTGCCTGAGAAAATTCTTTTTCATCGGCAAATTTATTTGTTTGATTAAAAAATTGTTCTGTAAAATTATTGGTATTTTTAATTGATGATAGTCCCTCAAGAGTTGTATTTTCAAACGGAAAATTTTCTTCATCAGACATAAAACTTAAAAAATTAATTAAAAAAATTTTTCTTAAGTGACAAAAAATCCCAAAATGACAAAAAATCCCAAATTTTGCCAAACATTTTTCTATCAAAAAGAAAGCTATTTTAAAGGTGGATAACCTCATGAAACAATTCAAAAAAAATTCCAAAACCTTTTAATTGTTGAAAAAATATCAGGAGATGTGTGATTATTCTTCTTCACATCGAAAATATAAATATTATCAGAACCAATATTCACTAAGAGTTCATTTCCAATTTTGTTAAATTCCAAATTTGTAGATAAAAGGTGTCCTTCTTCGTTTACAGAGAGATGAGCTTAAAATTAAAAAAATTTTAAAATAAAGGTACTTTTTGGATACCCCTCCTCTTAGTTTGAGTCGCATCAGAGTTATCCTTCTAGTTATACCTAATGACCAGAATTGCCTCCTTTTCTTTATTATCTCATTTTAACATGAGCAGGGAGACGAAGTGGAACAAGGAAGGAAGTATCCAGGAGGGGAGGGGGGTATCCAAAAATTTTTTAAAGAATAAACAAACCTGGTAATAACTTCATTAAAGGCTCCTTCATACTTCTTTTGTCATATATTGGAACTAAAGCTGAACTTAAACCAATAGCCAACATCTCACTTGAACTTTCATTTATTGCTAACGACTTTAAAGATCCATAATCTTCAGAAAAATCAAAATCTGTTGTTTTGTTGTCGCGAAGATCGCATTGTCTTTAAATATAAACATAAATAAAGTTAAAAGGAATGACAAAAAAGATAAGTTGAAACATTAGTTTAGGCCTTAACCTTTCAAAAATTATCAAATTAAAGCTTTTTTGATAAAGAAAGATTGAAAGAGGGTTTGTTTGTATATCCAGGCATGCTTACTGATAGGGAAAAATTCGTGGATATCCACAGATGAAATTTTGAAAAAGGAGACGGAAACAGAAATAATCAACCCAAAATTTGTACGAAGAAAAAAAGTAAAAATTGTAGAATAACTGTGAGCATGCCAAGGTATAACATAGAAAATGTATTCCCGCCCAAATAAAAAAAAATTTTTTCTCAAGGGAAGAAAATCCCTATATTCCCCCTCCCCCCCCCCCCCCCAAGACATCTACGCTTTTATTTAAAAAAATCTAAAAATAAAAACAAACTTTAAAACTCCATCTTCAGACACAGCCCAAAATATCCTCGGTTCTTCTTTACAAATTGCCATTTTCTTTACCCTTCCTTTACATTCCCATTTTTGAATATGACACAACGAATCTGATGACATTTGATCCAATTCATGCAATAAAATTAAGCTATCACCCGCTGCCGACAAAAGTAAATGGTCATGTGCATGAGGCACAAATAGAACAGAAAAAATATTATTTGAGTGTAGTGTTTGTAAACGACGAAGTAAGCGACCATTTTGATGCCAAATAATTAAATGTTGGTCATCGGAACCGCTAGCAAGAAGCCTTAAAAAAATTTTTTTTCAATTGAAAAAATTTTTAAAAATTAACTAACGTTCCAGAATCGTTCCATTTTATTGAATTTACACATCCTTCATGCCCCTAAAAATTAGAAAAAATTATGTTAATTTTTTTGATATTTATTAGAACCAAACTAGGGGCAGATCTTGGCTTAAATATAGCTCATAGACCAAACTAAAATAATTGCTTTTGACGTAATAAAAAAAATCCAGGAATCACCCATAAAAGTGTACATAGTGGCTTATTTTAACTTTTAAAGAAAAATAAAAAAATAATTTCCCCGAGCGGATTCGAACCCGCGACCCCTCATGACGTCTAAAATAGCAAACATTCCACTTAACCACATGAAATAGAAGTTGCTCGCCCCGTAAATAATCCGTAATCATGCATAGAAAAAGGTCCCAATTTAAGAACAAAGAAGATCCCCAGTTCAAAAATTAATAAAAAATTTAAAAAAAAACAAACATGTAGGGTGTAGGTGTGTTGAATTGACTTAACATTTGATTCAGTAACAATAAACTTCCTTTTAAAAATTGAAGAAAGACTGGGATCAACTTCTCTTTTTGATGTACTGCAAGGTAAATGTTCACAATCAATCATTTCAATAAATTAAAATACTAAAAATTAAAAAAAATTAGCTAAAAAACGAAAAAAAATTTTTTTGTAGGCAAAAAAGATGAACGAAAAATTAAAGTGAAAGGAGTTCCGCGGTAACCCCCGATCCAAAAATTAAATTTTCCAATATATTTTATTCAACTTACCACAAAATCCACCGACTTAAGTAAAATATTTAATATAAATGCGCGTTTTTATTCAGTGGCCAACTGAGGTGGGACAAACTGGGGCTGGGCCGAACTGGGGCTAGCTGGTATAACAAAAGTAAAAAGTATAAATTAACTAATTCAACGCTATGGGCTAATTCTTTGATCATGTAAGAAGACCTTAAATTTCCCAAAATTTCTTGAAATTTACTACACAAATTTAAAAAAGCTTTGTAAACTTACAATTAGGCGATTTTCCCCCATTTTCCAGTTTTCATAATTTCTATTGACGTTATGCCAACACTTTTTAACATTATGAAATTTTTCTTTTTACATAATTTCAAAATGTAAAATTTTGTTTCAACAATTGATTTTTCACTTGTTAAAGTTTTACTATTTATGTGCCGACTTTAAACATTTTTTTTATTTTCTCATTCATTTTTTATAATATTAGTTTCTTATTTTTATAGACTTAAAGTCATCCGTATATTTTTGGTTCTACAAATGGTGAGAGGAAATCGTCGGTTTAACCGTCCGCGTCGCATTGGACGAAGAATTCCTTTATCTGCTCAAATGCGTGAACTACGTCGTTTAATTACAACCGGTTTTAACAACATCAATACTCGTTTTAACGACGTCAATACCCGTTTTAACGACGTCAATACCCGTTTTGACGGCATTGATGCTAGCCTTAACGGCCTTAATCAACGTTTTACGGGTGTTAATGAACGGTTGGACATTCTCGGTCAACGTGTTGATACTTATCGTGAGGGCCTCAATCTGCGTTGTGATGTTATGACTGCACGCTTAAATAACATTGACGCTCGATGTCAGTGTGGGGTGGACCAGCCGGTGATTAATGCTAATTTGGTGGGTAATGAGAATTTGTCCAATACTCAATCAAGTGCATCTTCAACTCCGCCTTCAAATTTCCGACTTGACTATGGTGGTGAAGGGCGAGGTGTACGTATTTTGCCATTTCAAGTTTCCTGCCATTCCAAAAAATCAAAATGCTGCAGTGCTGCAAAAACTAAGGTGCAATTCATCGAAGAGTTGGCTGAGTAAGTGATTATTAGAAAATACGTGATTACCGATCAAATTTAGTCAATCTGATAATATTATCTTGAAACCTTACAATGCAAACATTCGTTCTCCTGACCCTGACCAAGGTTAGATTAATCAAAAAAAATTTTTTTTCAAAATTTATTTTTAGCTGAGCTTTTTCTCAGGCGAATTTTGTTTTATGGTGGTGTTTTGGATAAATCTCTTGGCGAAATGCCGTTGGATGAATATTTTGCGAAAGCTTTGGTTATTAAGGTTTTTTTAAGTTTTACTTTTTTATATTTTTACCCTTTTTAAGAATTCTTGCATTGGTTGGAAGCTTGTTGGTGTGGTTGACATTCCCTCCAAAAAATTGCCAGCCCAAGTTTTTTATTTTGATGCTGAGGGTGTTCGAAAGTTGATTGAGCAGTGTGATAAGGTTTTAATTTTGAAAGTTCTGTTTTTTTGGGTGAAATAGGGATTAGAGGTTTTAAACAGTCAATAATGCTGTTGAGTTCATCTGACTTTTTACTGGACTAGACTTTTTTAGGGGTTTCCGTTCATCCATAGTTTAGGAGTTTTTTCTCGTATTTGGCAATTTAAGTGATTTTTTAGATTACTCCAATTGGCCGCTTAGATGTTGGAAAGTTGGGGAAACAGGCACGTCTACAGTTGACTGGAACTCCTCCTTTGCGTTCTAATTTGGTTTCTGTTTTGGATTCTCAAACGGTTTATAATTTTTTTAATTTTTTGGGGTGATTCTCAGATTTGCGGATAAGACTTGCGGACAATTCGTTTGAGTAGGGGGCTATAGGGAAGTAACTAATCCGCAAAATCTGTCTGATATTTTCTCCTCAATTTATTCAATTTTAGAAACGTGTGGCTATATTGGACTTGTCAGCAGTCTGTTCAGGAAGCTCTCAACAGAAACAACAAAATCGTTATATGCTTGTTTGCTTCGATGGCGATTTGGATAGTCAAAATATTAAGGATTTGGATGATTTATTGACAAACGTTGGGGCTAATGTATTTCTTTTTAATTTTTTTCTCTATTTTATTCACATATTTCAGTTTATGAACTTGATGGAAGCCGGGGCTGATGCTATTATGCCAGCTTTGGATTTTGACCAGAAGAGGAAATAACGAGTTGATGGAATTTTGGGTTATATATAATATATAAAATTAGACTAAATAAGAAACCGCTAAAAATATCTCATTTTATAAGACCTCTATATTAAAAAATTTACTTAAAACAAAAATACAAAAGCCTTTAAAAAATTTTTATATTTATTTACCGAGTTTTTTCATTTTCAAAAATGTTTTGAGAATGTATTTTTTTCTATTCATTTCTGAACATATTTTGTTTAAATGTCTTTATTCTCTAAAAATGTATTTTCTGGAAAGTTTTTTATTTTTTTCTGTATTTTTCATCTAAATTTATCCGGAAAGTATTTTTTTTATTTTTTACGAGGTAATGTGTTTTTCGACTTTATTTCTCTCCGCAAAAATTTTCAAATATTTTTACTCTTTAAAAATGTATTTTTTCTAAATAGAATAAATATAGAGAATTTTTAATGGTTAAAAGAAGGGGCAATTTTAAGCTAAAATATTGGGCATAAATCCAACGCAAAATATTAAAATAGAATTTTTAAAATTTGGAAAAAAAAATTAAACAAAAAAATTTTTTTATTCTTTAACATTTTCACAACAAATTTTTTCTCCATTAATTACAACAAGTAAATTATAAAAATCTTTTTTACTCCAAAATGTTGCTGGTTTCCAACCACACCAACCCCCAGCCAAAATATCATCAATATTGTCTGTTCCAGTATAATGGGGGTCTAACACTAAATATTGGCAATTACCAAGTCGAGGATTGTAATCAATTCCAATTATTGTATGGGCAAGTTGGCCACCACCTTTTTTAAGGAATTTTTTAAATTATTTTTCTTTGTGATTACCCACATTTCTCATAAAAATATGGGTATTTTTCGGTTTTGTTACAACCCCCCCCCCTCTATATCAATGCTCAAAATGTCAAATATAGGGTAAAAAAGGGTGCTGAATCGAACAGTGCCCCTCTTTCCCCTGGAGAGCCTGTGGACCGAGATATAGGGATCGAAATGGTCAAAAACCATAGGGTCATTTAGGGGTAAAAAAATTCCAGCTCGTCTATGAAATAACAATAAGACGAGGAATTTCGTGAAAAAAAAGAAAAAAAACATGGGAATTTCCGAGGATTTTTTGGTCAATTTTTTCGTTTAAAAATTTATAGAACCCGGAAAGTGATTAAAATTTGAAAAATAAAAAGTAAAATAACCAATCATAACAGGAGCACCACCATTCTCAAAATGAAAAATTAAAGCTCTCGCATGTTCTGCCAAATCTGATCCACTTTTTGAAGTTAAAATTTTTGAAGTAATATTAAACATATTTTGAAGACAAAAACTTAATTCTAATGAACCAATCCATTTTTTAGACCCAACAAAATTTGAAGGTTTATCACCAATATCAACTAAACACTGAAAAAGAAATTAAAAATGTTCGAGATTCCTTTCATTTATGCTCAAAATGTCCGCAAATGTTGTCCGCAATTTGTACTAATTTATTTTATTTATAGGGCAAAGGTAAATGTATGAGAATTTTTATTCTCCTAAAAAAGAAAAAACCCTAGAGCGAGATGGGAAGAAAATGGGAACAGGATCATTGTGTACCTGGCCGTTTGTATACCCACCCAAAGGGGGACGTTTGTGTACCCGCATTATTTCTATTAGATTTTTCGTGCCATATTTTATAGACTAAATCTGAGTCTGTGGATTTTTCCTAGGCTATAGGATGATGCTCCTGTCCAGATAAGCAAGTTAAATCGAGGAGCATTTAAACATGATCTCTAGTTTATAGTCAAAGAAATCCCCCAGGAGGCTCCAAAAATGTCTTAAATGAGTGTACAGAAAAATGTCTGAACACAAAATCTAGTTCAATCGGGTCCAAAAAAATTTTTTTTTAAATCAGAGGAGATCCCAAGCAAAAATCAAATAAAAAATTTAAATCAAAACCTTTTGTATCTCTCTATGACTGGGAATATTTTTATCAATATATCCTTGTAATTTTAGCCAAGAACAAACAGTTTGGAATGATCTATAAGCACAACCCCAACCAGAGTCATCAAAATTGTTTTGTCCATAATGAAAATAGCCATACTTGCCTGATACAATTGCACATTTATTTTTGGATTGGACTTGAAAGGAATGAAAATTGGAGAAATTTAAAAAGGAAAACCTTGAAGAGTTTCGTGTGGATTATAAATTAAAGTTGGAAATTCTTCTAGATCCTGAGTCGTTGACATTTAAAGATAAGAACAAATAGGAAGAAAAATAAATAAAAAATAAAAAAAATAATCTCAAAAATATGAGAGATTATTAGAAATTATGATACTGGAAAAAGAAAAAAAGTAAATTTCCTAAAAATGACATTCTATCCGTGCCCGCTCAACTCATCTAATCCTTAACTCATCCACACGCCCAAAAATGCTCAACTCATCTAAACGGCTAAAATTCCTTAACTCATCCACACGGCCAAAAACGCTCAACTCATCCAATCCTCAACTCATCTAATGCTTAACTCATCTACACGGCCAAAAACGCTCAACTCATCCAATCCTCAACTCATCTAATGCTTAACTCATCTACACGGCCAAAAACGCTCAACTCATCCAATCCTTTGGAACGAGACTATTGAGTACCAGTCGTTTGAGTCCCTGGCCGTTTGAGTCTCTGGCCGTCTGAGTCCATGACAAGTTGAGTCCCTGGCCGTTTGAGTCTCTGGCCGTCTGAGTTCATGACCAGTTGAGTCCCTGGCCGTTTGAGTCTCTGGCCGTCTGAGTTCATGACCAGTTGAGTCCCTGGCCGTTTGAGTCTCTGGCCGTCTGAGTCCCTGGCCGTTTGAGTCCATGACCAGTTGAGTCTCTAGCCGGTTAAGTCCCTGGTCAGTTGAGTCCCGGCCGTTTGAGTGGTTGATTACCACCGGTTGAGTCTTGGGCCGGTTGAGACTCAACTGACCAGGGACTCAACCGGCTAGGGACTCAACCGGCCGATATTTCAAGGATTGGATGAGTTGAGCGTTTTTGGGCGTGTGGATAAGTTAAGCATTAGATGAGTTGAGGATTGGATGAGTTGAGCGTTTTTGGGCGTGTGGATGAGTTAAGCATTAGATGAGTTGAGGATTGGATGAGTTGAGCGTTTTTGGCCGTGTGGATGAGTTAAGTGTTAGATGAGTTAAGGATTGGATGAGTTGTAGGGTAGCCATTCTATCCAAAATTAACGGCTCCTATACAACTCATCGAATCCTTAACTCATCGAATCCTTAACTCATCGAATCGGCCAAAAACACTCAACTCATCGAATCCTTAACTCATCGAATCCTTAACTCATCGAATCGGCCAAAAACTATCAACTCGTCGAATCCTCCCAAAAGGGGACGTTTGAGTCCCAGTGTTTATTTTTTAGATTTTTTATTGTTTTGTTTATTTTTTTTTGTTTTTCTTCTGGGGTTTCAACTGATTTTGTTAATTAGTTGATCGCTCACTCATCCAAGTCTATCCGGTCAGTGAAAACATTCTCAGATCCTGGTAAATTATGCTGGAGATCCTGGTAAATTATGATCTCATTCCTGGTAAATTATGCGGAGATTCTGCGGAGATTCTACCGGGTAAAACCGGACCAGATTAATCCAGTAGGCCCGGATTGTGCCCAAAAGGACTTTTTCCTAGCCTCCAAAGCAGCACAAAAATTTTTTCAACGAAGATTCAGCTAGCCCTTTTGGGAGAAAAATTAACACGGGGACTCAAACGTCCCTTTTTGGGAGGATTCGATGAGTTGAGCATTTTTGGCCTAGTCGATGAGTTAAGGATTCGGTGAGTTAAGGATTCGATGAGTTAATAGTTTTTGGGCGATTCGATGAGTTAAGGAATTTTAGCCGTTTCGATGAGTTGAGTGTTTTTGGCCGATTCGATGAGTAAAGGATTCGATGAGTTGAGGGGACACGAAATTAACGTCTCTAACCTTAATGATAATTAGAGAAACAAAATTTTGTTTTTTAATAAATTTGTGGGTTAGTAACGAAGAGAGAGCGAGATATGGGAAGAAAAGAAATTTGATAAAAATGACATTTTATCCTAATTTTCGTGTCGAAACAAAATTATACTCTAACCTTAATGATAATTAGAGAAAAAAATTATATTTTTTAAATAAATTTGTGTGAGAGAGTATAGTAAAAGAAGAGAGTGCTTATGATAAAAAGAAAAAAAATTAGTGGGGTAAAATCAATTTTATGTTCTATTTATTTCTTTCTAGTTTTGTCAATTGAAGCAAGTGATAATTCCTTTCATCGTTTAATCTCTTAAATCTTGTTTTGCTTATTTACAGGAGTTTTAAAAAAAATATTCCAGTGATCAATCACCATTTTAAATAATGATAGAAGCTAAAACAAATTTAATAACATTTATTTTTTGAAAAATTTGATTACATGGGCAATTGTTTGTCAAGATCGAAGAGAAGAGTAGCTAAAGCTGGATTGGATGAACAAAATGCAAATAATATTTTCTCCAAGACTTCTAACAATCAAATGGTTTGCTCATCTTATCAATACAGGTATTTCAATTACTTTTTGGGACTTTGGTGTAGTGGGATAGCGTTAGGTTTTTGACATTAAGTGGTTGATGGTTCGAATCCCTCTCTCTTGTCAGTGTCTATATTTTTTAATTTATTGAAAATGAGTAGTTTTCTCTAGCAATACAGTTACCTTCTCCTTGATATTTTGGTGTAGTGGGATAGCTTTAGGTTGTTGACCATGGGTGTTCGTTGGTTCGAATTCTGTCATGGTCCTTATTTTTTGAGTTGTTGAAAATTAAGTGTTTATCTGCTAAATGTTTTTAAATAGATCTTTATATTCTAGATCTGACTCCAAAACTTTTCCCGATGCTTTTACCAACATAATTGACACTAATCAGAAATTGCTTGGGCAGCAGGAGGCAGCAAATGTAAATAGTGATTCTTCCAAAAATGAGCATAATCGTAAATTTTTATGATAAATTTAAAAATTTAAAAAATATTTCAGCTTCCCCAGAAAAATTAATTGCAATGTTTTCTTATGAATCTCGTTCAGAAGGTGATCTCGGGTTTGAAAAAGATGACATAATGTATCTTCTAGACAACACGTTTGTTTCTTTAGAGTCCTAAATACTAAAATATTTAAATTTTAAAGCAATCCGGATTGGTGGTATGTCAAAAATTCTAAAGGAATTCCTGGCTATATTCCTCGCAATTTTGTTGCCTTTCTCAAAACTCCAGAATCTTTCGATTGGTTTGCTGGAAGAATATCTAGAAGTGTGGCAGAAAGACTTGTAGCTGGGAAACAGTTGCCTCCTGGGACTTTTCTCATCCGTGAAAGGGAGTCTGACAATTTAGAATATGCTTTGACTATACGTGATATTGACCAAGGATTGGGGGTTCCATGTGCAAAGCATTACAAAATTAAAGAGGTGGAAAATGAATGTGGATTTTATATTACGAAGAGGATGATTTTTCCGTCTTTGGAAGCCTTAGTTAGCTATTATTCGGGTTAGTTTTTTAATTTTTAAATTCCCCCAAAAAAGTTTAAGCCTTCGAATTCCCCAAAAAAATTTTTTTTTAGACCGTGCCGATGGTCTTTGTAACAAGTTGACACTTGCAGCGCCCAAAATGACTCCAATAGGTCCCGATTTGTGCTATGATACCCAACAAAATTGGGAGATTCCTAGACATGAAGTTCAACTTATAAGAAGATTGGGTGAAGGGAATTTTGCTGAAGTTTATTATGGGCATTGGAGAGGGAAAGTTGATGGTTTGTTTATTTTTGGATTTTTTTGGAAGGGGAAAAGGCCCTTAAATTCGATCCAGTCGTTCCTTATTTGTTTCCTTTTCACACACAATTGTCGCAAACTAGATAATATAGGAAAAAGTAAGAGCAAGGAAAAATATCGGCTGTTAATAAACAACTAATTCTCACCAGCCGATGGGTGCTTGGCTGCCCCCCCCCCCTTCATGAAATATGGAATTTATTAGCGGGTTAGACCGCAGTGCTTGGATGCCCCCCCCCCTATATGAAAGATTGAATGGAGAAAAAGGGCCATGGATCGAAGAACAGCAGTCCAATCCAATTTTTCCACATAATCAATCAAAAAATTTTTTTAGTTGCAATAAAAATGATGAAACCTCGAACAATGAGTTCTGAAGATTTTATTAGTGAAGCAAATACCATGAAGCAATGTCAACATCCCAATTTGGTTCGTCTTTTTGCTGTTTGTACAAAAGAAGAACCCTTCTATATAATTACTGAATATATGAAAAATGGAAATTTATTAGATTTTTTGAGAGCAGAAACCAAAGAAGATAAACAACAAAAATTATCTAGTCCTAGAAATCCGTTGACAATACAAGAATTGGTGGTTATTTGTGCTCAGGTTTTTTAATTTAATTTTTTGAGGTTTTTGGGGGTCCCTGATAGTGTTGGACACGGCCGGCTAAATTTTCCTTGTAGGGCTGAAAAGCTCTTTTTCTTTTCTATTTAACCTATCACAGCAGACTTCTAGCCAGGAATCCCTTCCCCCTTGCTTCCGTTACCACATTTCTGGGTTGGGAATTCCCCCTGGCTACGAGCCTGTACCACGGAAACATTAACCTATTGTGTTCAACCCTAGTTGCTGACTTTTTTAATTTTTTAGGTAGCAGATGGAATGAAGTATTTGGAAGAGAGAAAGCTTGTTCATAGAGATTTGGCTGCTAGAAATGTTTTGGTTGGAGAAAAGTAAACTTTGTAATTTTTTACAATTTATAAAATAATTATTTTTTAGAGTATCTGGAGTCCCTATCGTTAAAGTTGCTGATTTTGGACTTGCAAGAAAGCTGATGGATGATGAACAGATTTATGAGGCTCAAACTTTTACCCAATTTCCTATTAAATGTAAGAGGGGTTTTTCGGGGTTTTGGACTTATTGGCTTTCTAAAATGCCATTTTGTACTAATATTTGGACTTGTGTTTGATCACTCATTATTTTCAGGGACAGCACCAGAAGCAGCCATGCTCAAAATTTTTACTGTAAAATCGGATGTGTGGTCCTATGGAATTCTCCTTTATGAAATATTTACAAAAGGAGCAGTTCCCTATGCAGGAATGTCAAATTCTGAGGTTCTCGTAAAAATTGAAAATGGAGAGAGGATGAAATGTCCTTATATTTCAAGTTTGTTTTTGGTTAAAATTTATGGAAAAAATTTTTATTTTTTAGACCCAGACGATTCTGTGCTAGTTAAACGAATTTATGAACAAGTAATGCTTAAAACATGGGAACAGCAACCTGAAAAACGCCCAACTTTTGAAGCATTGTATCATTATTTTGACGATTTTTTTGTTAGTAATCAGCCAAATTACATTCCATCTTAAACGCAATTATTAGGTATATATTTTTTTGGTCTCAATTTTATAACCCTTTTTTGCTTCTATCGAACGAATCTTATTTTTAGAAACTCAAAAATTATGTATAATATTTTTATAAATTAGATCAGTCACCGTGTTAGGATTTTAGTGCGCCACAGTGCCAAAATTCCAAACCTTCCGAAAATTATTACGTCATTTTCATATTGGTATTTTGGCGGTTTTTTGGGCTGGTTTTTTCCTTGCTGGTATCACGACCGTCTGTTTTTGGAATTAGGCATAATATCGGTTCAGCAAAAAATTCTTAGATTTTATATCCCCTATTATAAGGGATGATCTTTTCTGCTTCTGTTTTCTAAAAATAAGGTTCGATTTTATTTACTATATTATTATTAAAGACCGGATCGAGACGAGATTTCGAAAAGAAATCGACATTTCAAATCAACATTAATTCGATAGTTCCATTCTATTACGATCTTCTAGTCCGGTCTTTACTTACTATTTTTATTTTTTTTTATTAAGGGACCTCCAAATTAAAATTTAAAAATTTTTTTAAATATTTTTTAATCTTTTCAGAATTTTCTTTATTTTTTTCTATTTAAAAAATTAAAATTTGTGCATTTTTATTAATCTTACTAATTCGTGAAAGGCTTTTATATACTATTTATGAGTTTTTTTTCGGTGAATAAAAATGTTTACTGAATTTTTTAAAGTTTAATTTTTGTTGAAATTGTTTGGCTTTCAATTAATATTTTTTTAATTATTTGTCTGTTAAAAATAATTTTTAATTTTTTAGAATTTTACCAAATTTTTAGATTAAAAAATATTCTGGACCTTTTCTTTATTCCAAATGGGCAAATGTTTTTCACGTCAACAAAGTACAGGCAAGTCTAGTCATGATGATTCAGAAAATTCGCGTTCATCTGCTGCGATAAGTGACAGAAGGCGAAGACATTCAGTTGATAGTCAATCTGTGGATAGTAGAGATTTGGATTCTGTGCAAAGGCAAAGATATGTTGGGCCAAGACAGCCGCCACATTCATCACAACAGCAGCACAAATTGTCGGCTTCTCAATTTGGTTATTATAGAGCTGGTGGAGGTTTCTTTTTTAATTTTTTTAATTTAACAGTAAACGGCTGGTCCCTCTCATTGCCTCGTGGTTTACGCTTGCCATTCCGCTTGATACGGATGTCAATGGGGGAGTAGCCTTAGTAATGGCACGGGTATAGGAACAAAGTCGGGCTGGGTTTGAGTCAGGTTTTCAAAATTTTCTTCGGATAGGGTATTAAGTTATTATTTTGTTCTCTTAGTTTTTCAGTTATTTCGTCTCTTTTTTCCACTCGCCCTTACTTTTCTAGTCTTCGAAATTCTATTCATCAAAAGATGTCATTAGGTGGAAGCCCTTCCGTTCTTTCACTATCTATCCTTATTTTATCCTTATATTGTTGACCATCCTTTCCCTTCCTATCAACTTTATTTTTTACCCAAAATAAACATCATCTTATTAAAAAAATATTTTTTTAGCCCTACCTTCGGGTGCAAATCGTTCAATGTATCAACCTGGAGATGGCCAAAGAGCGCCTTATTTTGGTAATTATCCTCGTCATTATATAGTTAATGGAGATGGCTCTGGAAAATCTACAGCAATAACTTCATTGGGTGGAAGCCCTTCTGTTGGATTAGGTGGAAGAAAACAACAAAATGAAACGGCTGAAGGAGGTTTGTTGTTTTTTAAGAGGTTTTTGGGATTTAAGAAGAAAGATTAGGGTGGAATATGCTGCTCTTTGCTTTAGGGCGTTTTTTGATCCTAAAAAGGTCATTCTGGTGCGAAGTTGTTGGTGTCATCATTATTTACATCCGCTGTTACTTTTACTCTTTTTCCTGTTTGGACTTAAATTCTGATTTTTAATTTCTAATAAGGAATGGGTTTGGTTGAGAAGATGTCAGGTCGAGTTTTTAGAATTTTCTTTTCGGGTCAGGTCGAACAGTGTCTGGGTTTTGGAGTTTCGAGTAACCTGATCAATCCCTATTTCTGGTTGAAATTTCTGCAGCTTCTCTTTAATTTATTAATATTTTTATAGAGCCCAAAGTTATTGCCATTTATGAATACCAAAATCATGTAAAGGGAGATATTTGTTTCGACAAGGGTGATGTAATGATTTTATTGAATGACAGGTTTATTAAATTTTTTAAAATATTATTTTTAAAAATTAAATTTTGTAGCAATCCTGATTGGTGGTATGTTAGACACTTAAAAAATGGTGAAGGATATGCTCCAAAGAATTTTTTGGCAAAGATGGAGTCGTTAGAGGTTTCTCTTTTTGGGAAAAATTTTTTAATAAAAATTTTTTAAATTTTAGTCAGAAGAATGGTATGCTGGCAAAATCCAAAGGAGCACAGCGGAAAAATTGGTATTAGCTGGTAAAATGCCGCGTGGAACATTTTTAGTTCGTAAAAGAGAAGGAGGAGAATATGCATTGACTATAAATGATTTGAAGGATGATTCTTTGGATGTAAAGAATTTTTTTAATTTTTAAAATCAAAAGAAAATTCTTTTTCAAAGGTAAAACACTACAAAATTAGGCCTTTAGACAATGCTTCAGGCTTTTACATAACTACACGTAAAGTATTCCCGACTGTTCGAGATTTGATTTTCTATTATTCAAGTTTGTTTTTATTTTTTAATTTATTGAGAGAGGTGACATTTGATCCCACCTTTAGTCTAAAGAAAAATTTTTTAATCACTAATCTAGAGGAAACAACATTAGAATGAATCACAAATTTAAGTCCCAAAATCTCAAAATAACTTTTATTTTTTGGATTTTAATTTTGCTTGTACCTTGAGGTCCGTTTGGGATCAAATGTCGCTTTCTTAAAAAATAATTTTAATAAAAATTCTCTTTTTTTTTAAAGAAGAGCCTGGCGGTCTCTGTTGTCGTTTAACCTATCCAGCACAAAAAATAGCTCCAGTACGCCCAGATTTGAGTTATGATACAGCCAAAAATTGGGAAATACCTAGAGAAGAACTTCAATTAGTTAAGAGACTTGGTGATGGTAATTTTGCTACGGTTTACCTTGGAAGATGGAGAGGAGTTATTGAAGGTTTTTTATTTATTAAAAAAATTTTTTTTGGAGGTCAATGACCATATTACAATTTTTCCGTTTAGGGGGGTAATAAAAGATATTTTCCCCCTAATATATAGTAGTAAATTAGAGAAGTTATCGATAAGTATCGTTGGTTAAGTGGGTAAATTGTTGATTTCCCACTAAATTTTCTTTTAGTCTGTCTGTGATTACAACAAAGTTCAAGCTCAACAGGCTTGAATCCTCCATGTTGATAATTTACTTTAACTCTCTCTATGAGACAGATTAATGAAAAATTTTATATTTTTTTAAAGATATTTTTAGAGTCTATTTTTTAATTTTTTAGTAGCAGTAAAAATGTTGAAGCCTGGAACAATGTCTGTGGAGGCATTTTTAGAGTGAGGGGGTTTTTTTAAAAATTTAAAAATATTAAAAAGAATTTTTTACTAAAAATTTAATTGATGTAAGAATTAAACTTCTGGACTATAAGAAAATTAAAAAAATTTCTTTTAAATTGTTTTTTTATTTTTCAGGGAAGCTCAAATAATGAAACAGTGCAATCATCCTAAATTGGTTCGTTTTTTTTTAATTTTTAAAAATAATTTTATATTTTTAAGGTCAGATTATATGCTGTATGTACTGTTGGAGAGCCTGTAAAAATTTTTTTTAATTATTTTAAATTAAAAATCCCCTTATTTTCAGTATTATATAATAACAGAATTCATGCGCAATGGAAGTTTATTGCATTATTTACGTAATTTAAATAATAGATTGAGTATACACGCTTTGGTTGATACATGTGCACAGGTTTGTTTTTTAAATTATTTTTTGGTTATCTAATTTTTAATTCAAAAAGGGATCGATAGGAGAAGTCGTCAGGGATGATTTGTTAATTTTTTGGGATTTTAAAATTTTTTAAAAAATTCCTTAAAAAATTTTTTGGAGTGCTATAGGTCGTTAGGGATTAAGCGTCTATTTTTGGGACTTTTTAAAAAATTTAAAAATTTTTTAAAAAAATTTTTATGGTGGTATAGATCGTTGGGATTTAATTTCCATTTTTGGGATTCTCAAAAAATTTTTAAAAATTAAAAAAAATTTTTTTTGCAAGATGAAAAGGTCATAAGGATGAAATGCCATTTTTGGGACTTAAAAATTTCAGAAATTTTTTTTTATTTTTTAAAGGTAGCAAGCGGAATGATGTATTTAGAAAGCAGAAAATTGGTACATAGAGATTTGGCTGCAAGAAATGTTTTGGTTGGCGATAAAATTTCTGGTGTCCCCGAGGTTAAAGTTGCAGATTTTGGTCTTGCAAGAAAATTGATGGATGAAAATATTTATGAAGCACAACTTGGGGCTAAATTTCCAATTAAATGTAAGGGAGGAAGGATTTCAGAATTAAAAAAAAATTTTTCAAAAATTTTTAGGGACGGCACCAGAAGCTGCACAATATGGCAATTTTACTGTTAAATCAGATGTTTGGTCCTATGGGATTTTGCTTAATGAAATTTTTACTTTTGGAACGGTGCCATATCCAAGTTTGTTTTTTTTAATTTTTATTATACTAGTTCTCTGAATTATACCCCAAACAAATCAGAATTTCTGACTTAATTTAAAAAATCAGAAATTCTAATTTAAATTTTGGAAATCAGAATTTCTGGTAAATTTTTAAAAATCAGAATTTCTGATTTGGTTTTAAAAATCAGAATATCTGTTTTTAAAAGAATTTCTGATTTAATTTTCAAAACCCTAATTTCCGATTTGTTTTTAAAAACCAGAAATTCTGATTTTTAGTTTTAAAAATCAGAATTTTTGTCAGAATTATTAAATTCAAAAATTCTGATTTAAATCAAAAATTAGTTTAAATCAGAATTTATTTTTTCTTTCCTTAAAATTATAGCAATGCACAACAAAGAAGTTATAGCACACCTAGAAGAAGGCTATAGAATGCCCTGCCCAAAAGGATGTCCAGAAGCTATTTATCTTGAAATGCTAAAATGTTGGGATCGGAATCCAGACAAACGGCCAACTTTTGAATATTTATTTACATTTTTTGACGATTTTTTTATTTCAAGTCAACCAAATTATGTCCCTCCAAGTGTTGATGGTGTCCCTTTTGAAGTACATTCTATGGATACAACAGATGAGGGATCTTCTAATAGAATGCCAAAATAATTTAATGGAAAGTATATTTATATTTTTTAGTTTTTAAAATTGTTTAGTAATTGAGAGACGTTTGTGTGGCCTTACAAAAATCTTGGGGCTTTACTTTAGGATATCTGTCCCATCAGAGTATGTATCTCAAACATGTGACACAGTTTGGCTGACCTCCTTTTTTCCTGTTTCAATGACCATTTTAGGTTTTTTTTACAATAATTTATGATATACCATCCGAAAAAGCTCTTCGAGCCTTTTCGAATGCTTCAAAGATCGGTCAGATTTGGTATTACCGACATAAAAGTTATGAGACGCCTAAGCACATACGACGCATGTCCTAAAGTAGGCCAAAATTTTCGCGTATTTTTTAAAGGAAAAATCCGGAAAAGATTTTTGAGGAGCTACTAAAAAACCCTTTTTTAATTTTGTAAATTTTCTCATTCCATTTTTTCCCCTATATTGGTTTGTGTGCCCTTTTTATGCAATCCAGCTGCCATCCATCGAAATAATATCTTTCACAAGAATGATACTAAAAAGCCACTTAACACATAATTTATATTATTAAATTAATAATAATTTTATATTAATTAATATACTCCTAATAATATGCATTTTTATATTTTGAGTAAATTATAAACTGTTTGTTAACCCTTGGAAGTTGTAACATTTTTTTTGAAGGGGAGAGGGCTAGAAAATTTGGAAAGAAAATTTCTGAAAAGGATTCTTTAAGAAAAAATTTCTCAGAGGGGGGGGGGGGGGATCGGAGTAGAAAATTTTTGGAAAGAAAATTTTCAAAAAAATTTTCCTAGGGAAAATTTTCCTAGGGGAGGGGGTGGTCAGAAAAAATAATAAATTGAAATTAAAAATTTTTCTAAAAAAGACCCTTTTTAGAAGTCAACTTTTATTAAAAGGAACAATGTAAATAATTTAAAATAAATTATTTTAGCAACATAAATTTGCTCTTAAAAATGGGTCAAAAAATTTAAAAATCAAAAAATTGAAAAAAACCTCAATTTCTTTATCAGGAGATTCTTTCCTTTTCATTCTCCTTTCCATCGGGTGAGTCTTCCTCTCCTTTTTCGTCTTCTTCCGTGGCATGTAAAATAATCTCGGCTTTTTGCGAACGGGCATTATTCAATTTGGAGAAGCAAGCTTGTACTGATACTCTAAAAATAAATAATAATTAAATTGGGTGTGAAAATGATAAACTCTTGAGGGTATAAACGAGTGTCTTACGCGGGGGCCTTAGGAAGGGGCACCGCTTTTTCTCGTAGATCAGGGTATCTTCTATAATCGTCGAAAGATCTTTGGTTTCTCCTTCTCATCAGGTGAATCACCCCCTCCCTTGTACATGCCAAAACTGACTGAGGAAGACGAAAAAAGGGAGGAGGATTCACTTGACGGGAAGGAGAAATCCCATCAAAAATCCCAACAAAAAAATTAAACAGAAACCTCATATCTTCATTCAAATTTGTGTCAGTAATCAACAAACGCTTATTTCGCGCCACAACTTTTCCCACTTGTTTTTCATTCACAAAAACATCATAATCTTTAAAATAAAAATGTTTTTTAGAATTTAGAAAAAAAATTTACGATCAATAGCATTCAAAATTGGAATTATATTTTCCCAACTAACAAGCACACTATTAGTTCCATCCATCTTTTTTGTTGTTAAATGAGTTGGTGTTGGTAAAAGTAAATCACAAAGTGTTCGGTTTTGGTTTATTTGAGTTGTTAAAGCAGATTCAACTTGCTGGAAATTTTTTTTTGAATTTTTTAGATTTTAAGGATTTTATGAAAAATGCGGACAGAGATTTGCGGATAAACCCAAAGCCTATTGAAAAATTTAGGTGATAGAAACGGGGACTCCCCCTGGGACGGGGACCCCCCGAGACCGAAACATTTCCGAAACATGATTGAGAACATTTAAAAACACGCAATCCGAAACCACAATTCGAAAGTTTTTTTTTGAAAATCAGACCCAGACCTCCTCCTCAACTCGTCTCATCCTTGGTCCGCAAGTATCACACTACCAAAAGTACAAAAAATAAAAAAATTAAGTTAAACCTCCAATCTCCCAGCTAATTGTTGCAATGTTTTAACATTTTCTTCGCCAATTTCAAAAAGCATATTATTTTGTTCGTTCAATTTGTCAACTCTTTTTTGTAATAATTGATTACGTGTTTGTTCTGAATTTGTTGTTGTTGGTTGTTGCATTGGAGCTGTAGAGCGACGACGAAGTTTTTGAGCTAACACGGAACGGAAACAGCCAACAGCTTTGGTCTAAAAAATGTTTTTAAGAGTGTGACGTTAGATGGACCAGAAAATGAATTTTTCAATAAGAACCCAGAAAACCAAGACTTCAGACCCCAGGTATATGTTATATTGGCAAAGATTCGAATGTCAAACGTTGAAGTTAGAGTACGTCCGAGTCCGAGTTTACTCGACTCGCTCGCTCGGGTTTTTTTCGCCTTTACTCGGGCTCAGAACTCGGGATCCTAATACACGGCATTACTCGTAGTCGGTTTTTCCCCAATTACTCGGTACTCTTCTCTAGTTGAAATTATACACACACTTGAAATGTTAACTAGTCAATTTAATTGCTTGACTTTTAAGGTTTGCCATTTCAACGTTCTGCCATTATGACGCCATCACAGACCCCCCGTACCCATGACTATAAAAAATTAGAAAAATTTAAAACCTTTTTCTTTTCTGTCGCTTTACCCAAAAGAGGCACTTTAATATTCTCTGAAGTCTTCAAATTGTTTGAAAGTTTGGGTGATGGATGAGAGAATGTTGCATTTCGAACAATATTAAAAGGACGAGGATTTGGAGAAGGATGAATTGAAGCACTTCGAAGAATTCCAATTTGCGGGAAATCTTTTGGAGGTTGTTGCTGCGGTTGTTGAGGAATTGTGTCATTAACGAAAGTACTAGTTTCAAAGGTAGTTTTGAGTTGACTTGATTGAGTTCTAAAAAATAAAAGTAAAAAAAAATTTTTTGGAAGGGACAATATTTCAATTTTTCCAAAAATTTTTTTTCTAAATCAAACAGTTGGATGAATGGGATTCAAATCAGAAAAACCCGACCTAACTTTTCCCCCCAACCTAGCCAATCCCTGATTCGAACCGCCATGAGAATGATGAACAACACCAACCCAACCAACAACTTAACGGTTTAAAATTTTTATTCCCAATTTTTGACTTCCCTATAACTTCAATTAATTTTAAATAAAATTTATACCCATTAATATTCAAATCTTCATCTTTTCTTGCAGTTTTAGGCGTTTGTGGTAAAGCAACAGAAATTGTTGTTGGAGTAAAATTAGCAGAATCATCAATCAATTTTTGTTGTTCTTTATTTGAACTAACAACTGTATTAACACGCCAATTTTTTGTTGTTTTTTCCTCTAAATTTTTATTTCTTGGAGATGATGGAGGAGAAAAATTAATATTTTTTAAAATTGTTCCTCCCCTGAAAAAAATTTTTTTTTAATTAAAAAAATTAAAAGAAAACCTTGGTGTCGTATTAAATCTACTGATAGGCGAGACTGTTGTTGACATAAATTGTTGTCTTTTTCCATATGTTAGTGAAGGTGTACTATGATGATGAAGACGAACATCTTTGTATTCTCGACGTTTTTGAATTATCTAGAAGAGATAAAAATTGGAAAGAATTTTTGGAAAAATTTTAAAGCTGAGACACGAATGACTATCTATCCTGTAAGCATTAAGTGTAAGAGAAAAGAATTCTGCCAGAGAAGGCGATTTTTAAGTTAACTCGTATAATGATAAAAAAAATCAGGAAGAGGGAATAATTATAAATTTAAAGTGGAGACTGAAAGATGGAATTTAAAAATTGAAGTTTGGCTCTTAAAATGGACTGCAAGAATATTGTGAAAATCAAAAGGGAAATCATATGGGACCACCCACTGATCAACTATATCCAAAGGTCAGATTTCATGGGGGATGGATACGCTCTAGCCCCTAATCATCAAAGTAAACAAAAAAAAAGAAAAACTTTCAAAAACCTTTTTCAATCTATCATCGTTAACTCCTTCAATAGGCAATTCCTTCGAAACAAGAGGACATTCCAGCAATAAAAAGGCACAAAGTTGAGCGTGTGAACCACTTCCAGGACGGAAGGAACGCGTTTTCCTGTTTGAGTGAAGCCATTCCCCTGGGAAATTTCTGAATTATTTTAACTCTTAAAAATATGAAAAAACCTTTAAGAACTTCCCCTTCGCTTAAACAAACGCCATCCAAAATTTTCAATTCTCCAAGTATACAGGAATACACAAAAGGTCGATAAGAAAATTTACATCCATCTGGAGAGGCAAAATTGTTCCCTAAAACAGTCAGGGATTCCTAAAAAAATATTTTTTTAATTTAAAAAGCAAAGTTAAACAAACAAACCAAATAAGTAAATCCTCGTAAATAATTAATTTCACACAAATCTGATATCAAATTGCCACCCAAATCAAGAATACGAAGATTTTGAGACGGAATAAGTGTATGAATATTTTCAAAAGAACGAATCTAATATTTAAAAAATGAAATTAAAAATGAATAGAAGAATTTGTTGAAATCAGGGACGTCATGGGTTAGAAAAAAGTGAGTTCCGAGTTGGAGTTTGAAAATTTTGTTCGGATCAGGTTTCGAGCAAAAAACGTCCGGGTTTAGGGCAGAGTCAGTCAAAGGGAGTATGGGAGGAAAAAGTCGGGTCAGAGTTTGGAAAATTTCTTCAATTAAATTTTGGGACGGAAAAACGTCCGCGTTTCGGGTAACCATGACATCCTTGGTAGGAGTGGGATAAAATGTCATCTCACAAAGAAAAGCCTTTCGATTTCTTCAATAGAAATCAAATTAACTACCTCCCTATATAAAATTTTAAATCCTTACCAAATTCCCATGTAATCCCAATTCAGTTAAGGCCTCAAGTTTGGATAAATTTGGAATTGCCCTGAGTCGATTGCAATTTAATATTAGAGTTGATAGATTGTGAAGTTGATCAAGTTTGGGAAGATTCTAAAATTAAAAAATAAAAATTTTAAAAACAAAAAAACCTCAATTCGATTATGTGAAAAATTGAGCCATTGGAGATTAACAAAAGTGTCAAGGCATCCAAGAGAATTCATTCGGTTGTCCGCCAAATTTAGTTTCTTGAGAGTTTGGATTAATTGAAGAAATTGTTGGAGTTGGGTAAGCTCGTTTTGGGAGGCGTCAATCTTCAAAATTAAAAAAAAAAATTTAAAATATGCCTAGCAGTCTAAAAATCCGCAAGAAAAATGCGGACAAAAAATAGAAATCCGCAAGAAAAAAGCGGACAAAATTTAAAGTTGCGGACAATAATTTCAGAAACGTTAAAAATATAAAAAACCTCAAAGCATTTTTCCAATGGAAGAAGAGCACAATCAATAGACCTCAATGAGTTTCTAGAAACATTCAACCTCAAAATATTTCTCTTCAATTTAATCAATTCAGCACACTTTTCTCTAGGCAGGGATTTAACAAGTTTTTTGTCTGACCAATCAAGTAAACCATTTTCGTCCAAATCGGGCAAGTCTTCAGTTGGAAAGTGGGCAGTGTCTGTTGTGTCATTCAAATTTTCTTTAAGTGGAGTAGATAAGCTTATTGAAACAGAGGATTCAATTTGTTGTTCAGGAGAAAGAAATCCACTTCTTGCTGACTCCATTTGAATAAATATAGCAAATAAAAGAATTAAATAATAACCTAAAATAAAATCAGAAATTTTTAAGAAATTCTAAAAATTTTTTTGAAATTTTCTCGTTGAAATACTGAAATGGACTAATCTAGTTGAGTCTGACCGTTTGAGCGCGAATAATTGAGTGTGCGAATACTTACTATACAAACTTAAGTTTTTAAGTTTATTTAAATTCAAGATCAAACTTGAGTTTTAATTAATTAAAGTTTCAAGTTTATTTAAATTTAAGATCAAACTTGAGTTTATTCATTAAAGTTTCAAGTTTATTTAACTTTAAGATCAAGCTTAAAAACGTGTTTTATTTAATAAACCAGGTTTATTTAAATTCAAGATCAAGCTTAAGTTTATTTAATAAATTAAGTTTAATTTTATTTAAGATTGAACTTAAGTTTTATTTAACTACCTAAGTTTCAATTTCATATAAGTTTAAGATCAAACTTAAAAATTCTTATTTATTTACTATTACAACTTCAAGCAATCACGCGCTTATTTTCTATTTTTATCCCTTCTCTTTCACAATCTTAAGTTTTAATTTCGTAATAAAAAAAGTTTAATTAAAAAAGAAAGCAACATTTTGTACAAAAATCAGAAAACTTATTTTCTGGTTGAAATCTGATACCTTTAAATTTCTGTTTACTTTTAACTAGTTGACAGGCCAAGAAATTGTGGCCAAGGAATTTTTGTCTCTTTTGTTAAATAATTTTTTCTTCGTAAATCCCTTTATAAACTTGATTTTATTCATCCCATTTTCACACCTAAAAGCTTGCTTCATTTTATTAGAAAATATTTATCTACCTATTTTAACTCGAAAATTTCCTAATTTTCAGATTTCTTAATAAATTAAAAAAAAAATTTTTTTATTAAAACATTTTTTGAAAATATTCCCTATATTCGTGTCAATGGCAAATTGGGGTTTGTCCTCTTATTTTACTTTAAAATCTTTTTAAAAAAATTTTTTTAGAACACAGACTTCGTGAAATGTTTAACAATCAAGTTTGTCGTTTTAAATAAAATTTAAAATATTTTTTAAATTTTTCTGGACAAAGATATGAGTGGATACATTGGTAGAGAAGATGTTATTTGCATGTTATTAAATGCAAATAAGGTTAATTAAATATTTTTTTAATTTTATTTTTTATTAAATAGCAAGAACGAACGGATCCAGTCTTTAGAACACACTTACGCTTTTTGATTAGTGTGCTTAAAAATGCGGATTTGAATGGAGACACAAAAATCAACTTTCAAGGCAAGAAAACTAGGGAAACTTAAATAAAGTTTTGTAAACTTAAGTTTTAAGTTTGCAAGAATTTTATTTTAGGTTTAGCTAGGAAATATCAGAATTTTTAAGTTAGCACTTAAGTTTATAAAACCAGAATTATTAAAAACTTAAGTTTATAAAACCAGAATTATTAAAAACTTAAGTTTGTAAAATCAGAATTTTTGCGAAAAACTTAAGTTTAAGAAATCAGAATTTTTACTTTACATCCAGTTTTTGTAATCAGAATTTTTCATACAAACTTAAGTTTATAAAATCAGAATTATTAAATAAACATTTGTAAATCAGAATTTTTCAAGTTTGAACTTAAGTTTGTATTTATAAAATCAGAATTTTATTTTTTTCAGAATTTAAAAAATACATTGACAAGGCTATTGATGACTCGAAATACGCAATTCCTGTCGAGTTTATGACACCCGAGTTGGAAAAATAAAAGAAATGATGCCAAGAAAATTTTTTAAAAAATTTTGGAATTAATTAAAATATTTTTTGAAAGCGAATACTCATTTTTAATGAAAGAATAATTAAATATATTTTTTGGAAATTAATTTTTAATTTTTTTGAGCGAGTTGATAAATCCCTGGATAAAATACAAAGATTTTATCCAGGGAGATTTTTTAAGAAAAAGTTTTCAATAAAATTCATATAATTTTATTACTGTAGTTAGCGACAAACCGTCTTATTACTTTATTTTTAGCAAAATAGACCAAATGAAATTTTTTATCTTACTGACCTTTTTGTCCAATAGGTGTTTAAAATTTTCGATGTTTTTTATTTTTATTTCTTTCTCCTCTCTTATTTCTTCCTTTTCTCTGTAATTTTTTTACTAACAATAAGGGTAGACCAAATGAAATTTTTTATCTTACTGACCTTTTTGTCCAATAGGTGTTTAAAATTTTCGATGTTTTTTATTTTTATTTCTTTCTCCTCTCTCATTTCATCATTTTCTCTCTTATTTTAATTTTCTCTAGTTACAAGGGGACATTTTTGAGTTTTTTTGGCTCCCCTACAAAGGATAGATGAATTAAAGGATAGATGCGCTAAAGGATAGATACGGCCAAAAACTATCAAAGGATAGATGCATCAAAGGATAGATGCACTAAAGGATAGATACGGCCAAAAGCGATCAAAGGATAGACAGCTGAATAGGTCGTTTGAGTCTGGACAAAAATGTTTAATAATCTGAATCTTCGCTGGAAAAACTGTTTTTGTGCTGCTACGGAGGGTAGGCCGGGCATGGTCTTCGCTACACGATGGCCGTGCTTCGCTGCGGTCGTGCTCGCTTCGCTCGCGGCGACCGTAGCGAAGCGGCGGCCGTCGTTCCGCTCGACATGCCCGGCTTCATCCGCAGCGGCAAAAACTTTTTTCCACGAATATACTAAAGTACAAATAAAATAAAAATCAGAACAGAAACATGAAATCAGAACAAAGATCTGAAAAAAACAAACAAAGATCAGGCACTCAACAGTTGGTACTCAACTGGACTCCAAACTTTATCTATGTTTTACCCAATTTTAGACGTGTCTATACTTTAATGGATTCTACCCCTATCTATCCTTTGGCGCCGTGTCCGGTTAACTCATCTACTCGTTAACTCATCTACACGGCCAAAAACGTTCAACTCATCTAAACGGCTAAAATTCCTTAACTCATCTACACGGCCAAAAAGGGTAAACTCATCTAATCGTTAACTCATCTACTCGTTAACTCATCTACACGGCCAAAAAGGGTTAACTCATCTAATCGTTAACTCATCTAATCCTTAACTCATCTACACGGCCAAAAAGGGTCAACTCATCCAATCCTTCGGAACGAGACTATTGAGTACCGGCCGTTTGAGTCTTTGGCCGTCTGAGTCTCTGGCCGTCTGAGTCTCTGGCCGTCTGAGTCTCTGGCCGTCTGAGTCTCTGGTAAGTTGAGTCCATGACCAGTTGATTCCATGGCCAGTTGAGTCCATGACCAGTTGAGTCCATGGCCAGTTGAGTCCATGACCAGTTGATTCCATGGCCAGTTGAGTCCATGACCAGTTGAGTCTCAACCGGCGGTACTCTACTGGCCATGGACTCAAACGGCCGGTACTCAATAGTCTCGTTCCGAAGGATTGGATGAGTTGACACTTTTTGGCCGTGTAGATGAGTTAAGGATTAGATGAGTTAACGATTAGATGAGTTAACCCTTTTTGGCCGTGTAGATGAGTTAAGGATTAGATGAGTTAACGATTAGATGAGTTAACTCTTTTTGGCCGTGTAGATGAGTTAACGAGTAGATGAGTTAACGATTAGATGAGTTGTATAGGAGCCTTTGGCGCATCTATCCTTTGATGCATCTATCCTTTAATCGTTTTTTGCCTTATCTATCCTTTAGCAGCTTTTGGCCGCGTCTATCCTTTGATCGATTTTAGCCGTATCTATCCTTTGATTCATCTATCCTTTGAGCGGGCACGGTTTTTTTCTGTCTTACTGCGAAAAAATTTTAATTTTTCTTTTTCTACCCTACCAATCAAATTAAAAATTTTTCTGATTTTTCAAATTTAGATTTTCAGTTAAAATTTTATTCTATATTCTCTGTATTATATTTAATCTTTTCTTTTTATTTATTTCGTCATTTTTTAATTTCCAACCGAAAAGTGTTTTTGAACAGAATTATAAACCAAGGTTTCTTCAAAATTAAAAAATAATTTATTTTTCTCCAGGTTTGAAGTAAATAGGTTCTACAAATCAGAAAGATGTTCCTTTGCTAATTGTTTCAACTTTACAAATTGTTTGGACAACAATTTGCGTATTTATGTTTATCCGGATTTACCAAACTCGCCTCAATCTAAAATTTATTCTGATATTTTGACTGTTTTGAGAAAAAGTGTTTATTTTACTGAAGATGCAAGTGAAGCTTGTTTATTTATTTTGAGTGTGGATACTATTGATAGGGACAGAATAAGGTTTTTATTTTTTTGGGGGTTTTTAATAGTAAGGGGAGAAATAAAAGTTTATTTCCGGGCATTCATTGTTTCTGAGACTTTTTGCAGATCTTGAGAGACCTCATTGCGGGTTGTTTAGCTCACTGTTTATTGGTGCGGAACTTATATGGTTTGGGTATTTTTTTAGCCACGCCCTTTTTTTTCCTTCATCAATCAACCTTAATATGGACAGAATGGTCAGCCTTTCTTTTTTCCTCGATTTTACTTAACTTTTCCTGTGGCTTTATCAACTGATGTGAGCTGCCGAGGACACTGCTTTCCCCTTATCTTTTTAATAAATTTTAGACACCCGTCCAGTAAGCATGCTAGCTGTATTTTCCTTACATTACTATTGTGAGGTATCCTAATAATTTGATTTTTCAGTGAAGACTATGTAAAAGACTTGAATTCTTTAATTTCTTCATTACCCAAAAATATTTGGAACGGCGGCTTAAATCATTTAATATTCAATTTTTATTTTGGCACTTTCCCAAACTATTCAATTGATGATTTGGGGTTTAATCTAGGAAAGGCGATGATTGCTTGGACTAGTGCAAGTCGACAGGTTTTCTTTTGTAATTTTTGATACTTGGTGGTTATCACAAATCAGCTATTGCGGACTCATAATGGTCAGACATAAAAAGGAAACTTTTACAGATACCAATAGTTCCGTAAACAGGCATAACTTTTCTTTTTTATTTAATAGAGCAACAGGGAAAGTTTGGATGCTCTGACTATTATGAGATAATTATAATTATTAGTTCGCATAAATATGTCCTCAAAAACTTGTTTCGGATAACCTAAAACTAATTTAATTAAAATTTTTTCAATTTTTAGCATTTCCGCACAGATTTTGATATTTCCATTCCCTTATTTCACAAAGAACACCCTTTAATAAGTAACGAAGAAATTTGGTTAAATTCAACTGAATCTCACAATCATGATAAATACTTGGCTAGTTTTAAAGGAAAGAGATATGTTTATGGAATTGGTTCAGAAACCAGAAACATTTTACATTATCTTCACAACGATAATTCTGTAATTATTGCATCGACGTGTCGTCATAATTCTGATTGGAAAAAGTTTGAGGATGAAAGGTGTGAAGAGGATAATGCACAATATGACAGGTTTGTTAAATTGTTTTGGTTGTTAAAAAATGGGTCAGGTATGTCACGAGTTGAGAAAAAAGTCGATTCGGGATTCGAATCAGGCTTTCAAAATTTTCCTTGGAATTTTCGAATTTCGGTCAGAAAAAGGTTCGGGTAACCAATGACATCACTGATTTAAAAACTACAGGTGTGATTAAATGTCTTATCGGCCGGGTAGTTTATGTTACTTTTTGTTGAAAGAGGTCGGGATTCCTGCTTTCTTTTTAAATTTTTATAGTTTTTTAAATCGTTTCTATTTTATATTTCCATTTAAAAACATGTTACATTCTATTAACTTTATTTTTCAGATGGGATTACAATCAATTAATGGAAAATTCTACTTTTTGTTTAATTCCAAGAGGGAGACGTTTAGGTTCTTTTCGGTTTGTTTACTATTATTTTTGTATCAATTTATAAGTTTTAAAGCTTTCTTGAATCTCTCAAACATTCGTGTATTCCTGTCATTTTTTCTGATGATTGGGTTTTACCTTTTGAAGATTTTATTGATTGGAGTCAACTTTCAATCTCAGGGAATGAAAAAAATATTTTATTTGTTAGTTGTTTTTATTTTTTGGAAGTGTTTTTCGGACTTTTTTCAGTTGTCCGCAAAACTTTTTGCGGATTGTCCGCAAATTTTTTGCGGACTTTTTTTGCTGATTTTTTTCAAATATTCTTCAAAAAATCCCCTCAAATTCTCTTATATTCTCCTTCTAATCACTCCATTTTCAACAGATTTATGATTATTTGTCTAATATTCCAAAGGAACGTATACTCAAAATGCGCCACTCTACTCAACTAATTTATCAAAAATATTTTGCTAGTGTTGAAAGAATTGTTTTAACTTCTATCGAGCAAGTATTTGAACGTATAAGACGACATGTAGGTTTGCCTTCACAACAAAATTGGTTATGCTATTGAATTTTATTGAAAATTAATTTTTGCGGATAAAACTTGCGGACAGTTTTTTTGGAATTTAAAAATTTCCTTTTACTCGTACCTGCCTATTTTTTGCTTGTATTCGTACTTTGTACACAGGTACAAGTACGAATTTTGATATGACTTCCCAAGGACATAGCCAGGCGGCTTTCGGTGCTATAGCTCCCCTCTGGAATGGCCTGAAATCGACCCCCTGGCTACGCTCTTGCGACTTCCAAAAACACTGCTTGCAATTTTTTTCAATTTTTCTTCTATGGTGCATTTCTATTTCCCTTTTTATTTTTATACATTTTATTGATAAATATATTTTCTGTTTTTGTTTATTTTTGATTTTTAAACTTGTTTATTAATCAATTAATATATCTAAATTTTTATTTTTTTTTATTAATTTAAAAATTTTCTTCAAGTTTTTTCAATGGCTGCAAATAACAAACAAACACTTCAAGTTGGTACATCTTCCAAAGAAAAGAATGTTGAAGAAGAAAAGGAAGAGTCTAAGGTTTGTAAATTATTTTTGGGTTAATTGTCCTTCCTTTTGTGCGTTGTAAGGAACAAGTTGGGGGTGGTGAGCGTCTTATTTTTCGCTCTAGAATTAAAAATATTTTTAAAGGGTTACCGTTACTAAAGGGTCAGCTTTTCGACCTTTTTTTAAATTTCATATACTATTATTCATCCCGTTAACATATTCCCTATATGGTCGAAAAGCTGACTTGGTCCCGGAACTCCGAATTGACTTCATTCTCAACTTATTCAACTCAGCTAACCGAGCTCTTTCAATTGGCACCTTAACTCGATCCACCCATTCCATTCATACACAAAAATTCTTGTCCGCAAAAACAATTTTTGTCCGCAAATTTCTGAAAATTTTTTATTTCTAGTTAATAACATCAAATGCAATTCGAAGCGGATTAAAATTAAAAAGAGGAAATTTATTTAAACAGAAAAAGAGAATTGATCCTCGAGCAATTGATTTAACAATAAAAAAAGAAGAAAAAGGTCCACACAAAACTAAAGCTGAATTGGCATTTTTAAAAAGACAGGAAGAAACGGCGTTTGATAGATTGTCTAAAAGAGCGGCTATAAGTCATAGAGAAAAAGTTGAAGTTTTTAATAAACAAATGGAGGAATTGACTGAATTTAATGATATTCCAAAGGTTTTTTTTGAAATTTAATATAAGTTATGGGGTCCTGGTAGGAAAGTTCCTGTAGGTTAAAATTGTAGTTTAGGACTGGGTTGAAACTTTTTGGGAAGCGAGAGGAGAGATAAAAAAAAGTCTATCCCAAGGCAGGCATATATCGTGCGACCTTCTGACAGATTTTGTTAGTTAAAAAATTAATTTTGAGTTTATCGATGAGTTGTCGGTTGTTTAAGAAAAATTTTTTAATTAAATTATGGGTCCTGAAAGGAGTATTTCTGTTGGGTGATTAAAAGATAGTTCAAGATCGGGTTTTCAAACTTTCTTTTGAGAAGTTATCGATTTTTATGAAGATCTAAACCATTCTAAATTAAAATGATTGGTTAAAAGATGGGGTTGTTTTTGTTAAAGATGTTTTTTCAAATTTTATTTTTCAGGTTTCCTGGACCAAATAAATACATTTGGAATGTTTGGTAAGAAAGTTGGAATTTAAAAGAAGTGAACATTTATTTTTTGGTATTTAAAATTGGTGATCCTTTTTTTATTTTTAGTGAAAGGCATTTACGGCTCTATAGTAAAAAATTTTTCGAAATGAATGTTAATTTCGGATATTTTAAAATTAAGGTTAAGACTTTGGGACCGATATTTCTAATCCTATACTATATTTTGACCCTTCTAAATTTCCCTTTACGTTCTACAAATTTATTTTGTGATAAGTCGTAAGTGTCTTTTCCCCTTGCTTATTTTTCTCCTCTTTTTAAATAAATTTTTTCTTTTTAATTTATTTTTTTAAATTATTTCTATGTCTTTAAATTGACATTAAATCTATTTTTTTTTATTTAAAAATTTCTTTTCTTTATAATATTCTTTTAGTTAATTTTAAAAAATGCCTGCAATCCCCCGTGTTGATCGAATTAAAAATATTTATTCGGCTGCGAAAGCTTTAAATTTTGGTTTTCGTTTGTCTGCTACAAATCCACAGGCTGTTCTTTTTGATGGAATTTCTGGCCATTTTCCGCAGCTTCAACGTGTTACTATTCGTTTTTGTAAAATAAGGTTTTTGGAATTTTTTAAAATAATTATTTTAGGGATGAATAAGTTAATGCAAGATTGTCGATTAGGAGAATGGGTGTATTGGTCAAGTGGTGTATTGGTTAGGGTGCTTGGTTTTTCCTTACGAAGGGTTGTGGGGACTCCCACAACTTGTATTGTTTTTTCTTTTTGTCTAAAATTTATCCTTATCATGTAAAAAGTGATAAGAGTAGCCTAGACTCAAAATATATTTTTTATTAGGGTATTAAATTTAAAAAATTTTTATTTTAAGTGAACCAAGCGCCGGTCTTCGCAATTATATAGAACATTCACTTACCAAATTTGCTTCAGAAAATCCTTATTGTTCAATTTATATACTTCCCGTGCGAAATACTACTCCATCAATTCGAGCGGAATATTCAAATGGAAGAGAAGTTCAGTTAGACGCTAGGGATTTTAGGTTTTTTAAATTTTTTAATTTTTTGAATAGTTTTTTTAATTTTTAGTATGGAACATACTTCTCTTTATATGAACTATTTGAGGACAAGAAGTGGATTGCCAATTTATAAATGTATGTAAAAGGGATATTTTTGAGAGGTTTTTTTAATTTTTTGAGGGTTTTTTTAATTTTTTCAAATAATTTTTGTAGGACCCAGACTTCCCAAACATAATTTTTAAATTTTTGACCATAGGGCTAAAAAATTTTTATCCTTTTTCCCTCAAATTTTACGTTTTCCAGATTTTAATTGGATTTCTCGTCCATTTCCAACAATTTCCCATCGAGAGTTCCCACCCATCAAGGATTTTTCCCCTCTAATTTATGCGTTATTTTTATAACTTGTATTTCTGTCACGGGTGGGGGAAACCTGTATATCGATAAATTTGAGAAAGACTTTCTTTCTAATTTTTAAATATTTTTTCAGTTGAAAACCCTCAATTTTCCCCAACAAAATCAATCCAAGGAATGTGGTCGCCAACAACATGGCAAAATACTGCCCAAAATCTTTATAGCTGTGGAGCTTTGCCTCAACAAGAATTCTCTACACATCTTGAAAAATCGAAGGGAGCAACAGAAACTTTACAACAAATGACGACAAAAGAAGTATAGAAAATTTGTTTTTGATTGTTTTTTAAATTTTTTATTTTTGGTTATACAAAAATTAATAAAAAAATTTTGTTGTCATTTTTGATTTTAGAGAAAATATTTGGGAGATAGTATGGCCAGTGTAAGGAATAAAAATCTTTAAAATTTTAAAAATTGCAAAGTATTGGCATAATGTATATATTTAAATAAATGACATTTTGTCCTCTCAGTTAAAGAAAAATATGAAATAGTGTAAATAGAGAAAAAGAGGAAAGGGATAATTGAATTTAGTAGAAGTTGGAAAAGTTTATTATAAAAATCGATAAAATCAATACCAATCGATAATTGATTTTCTGAAAAATTTCAAAAATTATTTTTTTCAAAAAATCGATACTAATCGATAAAATCAATACTAATCGATATATTGATATGTTTGAAAATAGTAACTTCCAAAAAATCGTTTAAAAATCAATAAATCGATAAAATCAATAATTGATTTTTCAAAATTTAAAAATTATTTTTAGAAACACTAACACACGAAACATCAAAAGATTTTAAAATTATATTTTATACGAATACTATAATTAAAAATTTTCTCTTATAATTTCACCTATTAAATACATAAAATATATATAAAAATTGTTATATTGAGTTCTTTATATTTATAAATCAAAAATTTTTAACGATTATATACTTTTTCAAAATTTATTTTGGCACATCTCTCTATTTATTTTTGCTTCTCCAAGTAGTTGAGAGAAAGAGGTTGAATTTTGAAATGATCACAAAGTTGATTTATCTGAAAAAAAAAGAAAGGGATTTTTTGATTTAAAGATGGAAACTAATAGGTATTTTAATAAAATAAAATCAACTTTTTGATCAGACTAGTTTTACAAAAAGATAGAAGTTTGAAAAATACCAGATTGATCGAAAACAGAAAGATAACCGACAATTCTTTAAAAATTTTGTATGTGGGTTCTTCCTCAAAAAATCCCCAAAAGTAAAAAAAAATTTTTTTTTTAATTTTTTTGTTGTTTAATTTATAGGTATCGAAACTTTTCTCGAAAATAATCCCAACCAATTTTTTAAAAAATTTTGAAGTTGATCATTGGGTCTCCTTAAAAATCCCCAAAATTAAAAATTTCTAAAAATTTTTTATTAATTTGTGGGTATCGAGAAACTTCCCTCAAAAATAATCCCTCCAAAAAATTAAATAAAAAAATACCACACAACATCCATAATTAACATGGGCAAGAGTAAATAAAATAGCAGAACCACGAAGCACCCAAATTTCAAAAGAAGCAAATAATCCAAACAAGGATAACAAAACAATTAAAATATACACAATTAAAAGAGTAGTAATAGCAGCAACTTTGGTTGATGACATTTGGGCAATAATTAAATGGGCCTTTAAAAATGGAAAAAATTAGTTCTCCTTTGTGAATTAAGGATGTCACGTCACGGATAGAGAAAATGTCGGATAGAATTTCATATCGAAAAATTGTCCGGATTTCGAGTTTTGGATGACCGTGGGAGACCCCTCTTTGGAAATTTTTTTTTAAAACGAAAACACCTCCAGAAAATTTAAAATAAATCCCTCCTGCGAATATATTCAGTCGCAGGTTTTTGAAAATTTCTCTTGGATCGTGTATTGGATCGAAAAAATGACTACACCCCGTGACATCAGTGTGTTCTTTTTTAAATTTTAAATTAAAAAAATAAAAAAATAAACCGCAATATTAGAAAAAACAACACCCATCGTCCAAAAAAAGGCTCGCGGATCCAATTCCAAAACTTTATTTGGCGAATAAGCACCCCAAATTAATGTACAAGAAAATAGAAGAAATGGAGAGATTAAAGGCTTTAATCCAGAACCAACTGTCTCCTTTGAAAAAAATTTTTTTAATTTTATACAAATAAAATTGATAATTTTTTAACAAAACAGCTAGATTTTATTGGTAATAGTTCGGATGAGACCCCCCCCCCCCCACTTTTTTCCTTTCTAAAAGTATTAAAAAGGGTCAGTCAGACTTAGGTTATAGAACTCGTCGAGTTGTGTCGAATAACACCAAAATCAACCCCTGGTTCTTAAATTTAGGCCGAGATACAGACAAAAAACCTGCGAAAAAGAAAGGTTTTGCAAAACTTTATGTCATAATCTTGTCAAATCTTGTTCAATTATGTTGATTTTGATGTCATTCGAATCAGCTGGGCAAGCTCTTTCGAATGAGCTATTATTTGTTTAATCGAACTTTTATCCCAAAAAATGAGTTTGGTCCACCCTTTTATTTTTCAATTTTCAGGGGTCTGTATCTCGGCCCAAAGTTAAGACCGGGGGTTGATTTTGGTGTCATTCAACACAGCTCGACGAGCTCTATAACCTAAGTCTGTCTGATCATTTTTTAATACTTTTAGAAATGAAAAAGGAGGGGGGGGTCTCATCCGAACTATTACCATTTTATTTTAAGAAAACTGAGAGTAGTTTAATAAAATTGAGAAATGGAAATGGATTATGTTTTACAGGAAGAAGCTGTAAGGTTATGGGGATCAGAAAATTGAAAAATTTTTTCAATAAAAAGTAGCAAGTCTTTTTTGGGAAAAAGAGGTCGAGGATCAATCAAAAAATAGTTTTGAGTATTTTCTAACTAGAAAAACATTTTTTAAAGCCATATCTAAACAAATGAAAAAAGATTCAATGAGTGGGATTCGAACCCACCAACTTCACCAAAAATCTAGCGCCCTAACCAATCAGACAACAACCCTATACATACATTTTAAATTTAACTTAATTTAACATCCATTAAAATTTAAGCTGTTTTGTTCTAAAAATAAAATAAAAACCTGTACTCCCGTTTTTGAAATTATATAAGCATGGTAAACATTATACAAACAACTGGCCAAAGAAAGAATACAAGAAACTTGAAATTAAATTTTTTTAATAAAAAAAATTTTTAAAATTTAAATCAAACTAAAAAATGTTGTAGCAATAAAATAGGCAAGACTTAGCCCTTCAACCAAATTAGAATGAAAAATTTTTGGATTTGCAAAGAAGGCGAAAAGGTGAAAAATACAAAGTCCCTTTAAAAAATTAAGAAAAAAATTTTTTAATTTAAATTAAAAAAAATCAAACATATTGACTAGCATCATAACCCCAAGACAAAAACAAAACTCCAGTATTATATTTTTCCCAATGACTACAAATAAATACAAGTTGAACCGATATTAAAACACAGAGCATTGTATATGGAGATATACTGTTTAAAAAATAATATTAATTTTCTGAGTTAAAGAAAAATTTTTTTAAACAAAAGCAAGCTTTTTTTAAGCAAACAAAAAAATATTTCCTGACGAGGAATCGAACCATCCCCTTATTTCGTAAAAATCAAGCACCTTATCCACTTGACCAAATATCTTATAAAAATCAACTAATATTTAGAGCTTAAATGAATTTAAGTACAAACATAAATAAACAACCCCCAGAAAATCCAAGTAAAAATCCGAATTAAAAATAACCCAAAAAACATCCAAAAAATTTAAAATGAACCTATATTCACCACGTCCAAAAATAGAAAAAATTGTAAGTGTAAGTGGAACTGTTGACCAAGAATCTTGAAAATTTTTGAGAAAAATTTTTTTTTAATTTCAACAAATAAAAAATACCAAATCCATGATCAACTGAAATAAGAAAAATTAAATTTTAAAATTTTGTAGAATAATTTAATAATTTCATGAGTACTTAATCAATTTGTATTTTAAAGCGTTTGAATCGAAAAAGAACCCAAAAAATGCAGATAAAACTTGCGGACATCTTAAAAAATATTTAATACACCCCTTTGAGTTCCGAAAAAAATAACAAATTAACCCCTCAGAAATTCAAAAAAAAATAAAAACCAACACAATTCTCCTGTCGGTCCACTCGATCCAGTCCTTCTCGCCTGCTTTCCATCAGTTCCATCAAGTAAATGAGCCAAAAAAGTAGCAATAGAACAAACTAACCAAATCCAATTTGGAATTGCTTCTTCTTGTTTGAAACCAAAAGTATTTGAATTAAAATTATAATCATAAATAGACACCAAAATAAAAGAAGAAATTAAAATTAAAAATCCACCAAGAGTTAAAACATTTGGAGGTAACCAACGAGGATAAAACTTTAAATTAAAAAAATATTTCTTCAAGTTAAAATTTTTTGTGTGAAAAGTGGGGCGAGGTATATCCCCATGAAAAGACAGAACAAAAAAAATTGGATGGTGGATTTTAGAAAGAATACGACCGATTTATGACACTATTTTAGGTAATCCAAGGCACAGGTATTGAGACAAAAATCTCATTATAAGACTAAAAAATAGCAACACATCCTGAGTGAGGGTTGGACATGGTTGATCCCTTTGAGAAAGTAACAGAAAAAATTAGGAGGTAAAGTCCAAGCAAGACATTAGGTGTTCAATAACGAAATTAAAAACTATTCTTAAAGCCCAAGATTCCGCCCGGAACCCGAAAAATACCATAGCTCGAGAAAGGGGACAAGACAATAAATCTAAAAACTGCCCAAGACAGACATAAAAAACGAAAGCTCCTTAGCTAAAAATAGAAGGAACTTGAAAGTGGACGGAAATCGAAAATCTTATATAGTTGAGAATATGTTTTAAATTATCCAAAAATTAAAAAAAAATTAAAAATAAAAACCTCAACAATCCAATTCCAAAAAGGATGTGAAATATACACAGAAATTGGAGAATTATCTATACAAGCATATTTATATTTATTAAATCCAGAAAGTTGTTGCTCACTCAAATATTTTGTACGAAAAATTGTTGACATTTTTTTTGTGATTATTAAAAAAGATTTATATTAAATAAAATGAAAATCAATTAAAAGATAATAATTTAAAATATTAAATCGTTAGATTAAACGAAATACAAAAAATAGACAAAGAAATAATAAAAAATTATTATAAAATTTTATTTAAAATAAAAAAATAATTTGATGTTTTTAACTTTTAAGAATATAACTAAAAAAAGAACCCAACTGATTATAATGAAAGAAAAAAAATAAAGCATTTCTAACAGGGAAAATACAGAAAAATTTTAAAGCTTCATGTTTTTACAGAAAAAAATTTTTTAAACTTCCTTTCACTTCATTTTTAATGTTCTGGCCATATAATTGGAGGAATTGTATTTGTTGTAAAATCAGGTAAAATATGTTGTTGTTGATTCATTAAATTTAAATTATTACTAGTTGATGCCCATTGTTGTTGTTCCGGTAAATTATTAATTGTTGTTTCTGTAGTTGTTGGCATCATTAAAGAATATCCTTGGGGAATGAAAGAACCATCCAAAATATCTTTAAAAAAATTGTTTTTTTAATTTTTTTTTGGTTTTTAATTATGGTAAGAGCACCATAGAATAGTCTCTTAGATCTGTCCGGAACCCTTAAGATAATGCAGAATCGGGATAATAAAAAAACTTTTGGAGTAAGAAGTGAGAAAAGACAAAGATTTTGACCTAAAAAGAAGGTTGAACTGGGGTTGAACTTATGATTGTGAGGTTGAAAGTATAGGGATCGGGGTTTTAGCCAAAGAAAAGTAGGGATTAGAATGGGTCCGAGTCAAACATTAATTCATAGACGATTTCCCCAAACAGTCAAAAAATATGAATAATTAATATTGTCCGTTAAAATATAAAATTCATCCCTCTCCCCTCTCCACCTGATTAATCTCCCATTTATTAAAAATTAATGTAAAAATAAAAACCATTTTGTGTCATCAATTCATTTTGAATATTTGATGGCCAACAAATATTTTGTTGTTGTTGTTGAATTAATTCATTATTAATTGTTGGTTGATTACAAAAATTTAAAGACGAAGAAGAAAATTCCAAATGTTTTTGTTGTTGTTCTAATACATTTATTGACAAAATTAAAAATTCAAATTCCAAAGAATGAGGATTAATAAATGAATTTATATTTATTGATGTTTGTATATATTCTGATGAACCACCAATTTGTAATTTACAGAATAAATCCTTTAAATTTTGAAAATATTCAGAAAAAATATATTTTAAAAATTGTCTAAAAAAATTTTTTTCAAGGCCAAAAGAGGTTTTTCCTTTCCTTTATGTTTCACAAAAAAATTTGTCAGCAAATTCTGTCTGTAACAACCCTTTTTTTTATCAAAAAGGAGATTATAAAAAATGACAAAAGAAAGATACTCACATATGTCTAACAAAATTTTCTTAAAACAAAAAAAAATCTTTTAAAATTAGAGAAGTTGAAAATATTCCAGAGAAAAAAATTATTGTTTTTTTTTGTCTCAAAAAAATAATCCTATATTTCCCTTATCTTATTTATAATCCTTTGATAAAACATAAAAAGACCATAGAGCCAAAGAAATAAGTAGGCGCGCGGCCATAACGGCGCAAAGCCATAACTTGCTACAAGATTGTCAAATCTTTCCCATTTTATTGTTAGTATTAAACAATTCCTCTCATCGAGCTAAAGAGATTGATATAAAAAATGACAAAAATCAGAAATTTTCCAGCAAGTTATGACTTTGCGCCTTTATGGCCGCGCGCCTATTTGGACGTGTCCCAAACTAATTGTTTAAGAAATATAAAAAAATTTTTTTCAATAAAATTTAATCTAACCTTTATAACAACATTATTATTCTTCAAAATATTCAACAAAGCATCTTTTACATTTTGTTCATCTAAAGGATGTACCAAAGTCCAAAACTTTTTTTCATAAATTTCAGTCATTGATGATAAATTTAACAATTTTTGAATTTCAGCATCGGCAAATGTAATAAAACCTTCAGAATCAACACGCATAATTATTTGATTTTTGTTATTAATTGATGGTGTTGTTATTAAATTTGTTAGTTGCATTCGAGCAATTAAAACTAGACTTGTTGTAATACCTGAAAATGTTTTTTAGTAAAGAATGCTTCCATTTTTAAACCGGATTAAAATTGTTGCTGGTTAAAGAACCAAAACGAATAAACGCAAATTTTTCGGGCATATAACTTTTCGATTTGGGGGTCAGGACCAAAAATTAGCAATAGACTCTACTTGATGTTGTAAAAAATGCGAAATTTTTGGTTACAGTTCAAAATGTTCCCTTGTTAGTCTCGGCTCCGGGCATAAAAAAAATTTTCCAAAAGCTGACAACACTAGATTTAATTTTTAAAACAAGTGAATGAGGGCCTACATTCTACATGGGAATCCTACGGAATTAATTTATGGTATTAATTAATTTATATAATTAATTTATAAATTAATTTAAAATTTATAATAATTAATTAATTTATAGAAGTCCCAAAATTTGCCAGAAAAGCGATTTTGCCGTCAATATAATTTTTAAAATTTTGTCAATTTCTAGTCACAAACCCGAAATAAGGTTAATGCCCCCTAGCCCCTTTACCCTATTCCACTTAAAAATAAGTAAAAATAAAAACCTGTCAATTCATTTGTATTCAATTGAAATCCACAATTAATATTTGAAGAGGAAGAAGACATTTGTTGTTGTTGTTGCTGTTGTTGTTTTCCATTTTTTAAATAACCTGTACAATGCATAACTACATAATATGACCCACAATGTTCAAAAATTGGTCCTTTATTTTGTAATCGTGGTAAAGCATTAATATTGCCTTTAAAATAAATTTTATTTTTAATAAAAAAATTAGAAAGGGAAGAATTGTATCTGGCAGGTATCAGCTATTATAAGATAGTCTCAGAACTATGAATTAGAAGTCAATTATAGTAGAGCAACAGAACTGTTCAAAAAAGATTACCAGTTATGTAGATAATCTTTTAAGAAAGATAAAGGGAAAAATTGAAAAAGGAAAAAAATAAAAGAAGTATTTCGCCCAAGAACGATTTTCACAATAATTAGAAATTTAGAAAAATTAATTTACAATAAGGTCCTAAATTCGGGGGGCATTGGGAAATCATGACGCCCTAACCAATTCCACTCGAAAAATTTTGTCCCAGCTTTTACTAGCGTATTAACAAGAATAAGAATAAAAACTAAAAAACAAACCAATTCTCATTCTGCAAATAAAACCTCTTCTACAATTTAAATGTATTCGATTAGTTGGTTGAACATCTCTTTTAATTGTTCCAGTAGACAAATCAACAATTTTATTATTAAAGCCAACATCTCCATCATTTGGACATAATATTTGTTCACTAACTTTTTCTATATCATCAGGATGTATTAAATCAAAAAATGCTCTGTTTAGCCATTCTTCCTAAAAAAGAAAGCATTTTATATAAAAAAAATTCAGAAGATAGCCTATAACCCTAAAAATTATCAGAGAAAAAGGAGATCAAATAATCAAGTAAAAGGCTCAAAAATAAATAACTCAAAAAATTTTAAAAAAATCAAAAAAAAGTAGCAGAGCTCACTCAAATTCACCCGATACAAAATAAGATGGATCAGTCCCAAAAACTCCAAAATCAGGAAAAATAAGGAGGAATGACGAGATTAGACCAGTTCGTTATGAGTCGATTCATAGCGTCAGGCCCGTAGCCAGGGGGGGGGGGGGTGGGGGGGGGGAATTCCCCCCCCCCCCCCCCGAAATGGGAAAATGGAAAAAATTTGGGGAAAGGCTGGGGCAAAAAAAGTGAATTTTTTTGGCCACGGCCTCTGAAATTTAAAAAATTTTCGCCTGCGGCGCTAAAAAAGGAAGAAATCTGGCTTCTTGAGGTCCAAAATTCAAAAAATTTTCGCCTGCGGCGCTGAAAATCAAATTTTTGGCGCCTGCGGCGCCGAAAAAGTGAATTTTTTTGGCCTACGGCCTTCTAAAATTCAAAAAATTTTCGCCTGCGGCGCTGAAAATAAAAATTTTTGGCGCCTTCGGCGCCAAAAATTTGGCGCAAAAAAATTTCCCCCCCCCCGAAAAAAAATCCTGGCTACGGGCCTGCATAGCGTTTCAGCGAACTGAAGTGAGCAAACTCTACCAATAGCGTAGCTAACGGGTCAATTTCGGGGGTTTTTTGATGATCCTTCTCCTAGTTTTACCCTCAGTTCGGGAGGGGGGGAGGGCTTCAGCCACCTGAATACGTCCTTGAGTTCTGCTAAAACCTATAACAAGACAAAAATCGAAAAGAAAAGTACTCAAGTTGTTCACCCACAAAAATTAAATTAAAAAAAACCTGGGAAACATTAAGAACTGGATAAATCGAATCAGAAACATAAATAACTCTAGAATCTTCACAAGACAAAACAAACAGAAATCCATTTGCCGCTTCCATAATTAAATGCTTCAATTCGTGATCAGTCAAAAATGATGGAGGATTTTGATGATTATTTGAATTTAATAAATCTCCACGAATTGATTTCATATGAGACACAGCCATGCGTAAAATTGTTAGTTTGTCAGGTTTTCTTCCTAAAGCTGCACATTGTGGGACCTGAAATAAAGGAAAGATTTTGAAGTAGGTAAAGCAGCTTGTGAAATCTAGTCAAGTAAGCCTCCGGGAATGTTATTGACGACTCCAATAGGTATTAGTGGGATTAAATGTCAGTTTGTGACACTTCTAATTGCAAGAGAAAAGGAGACCTCGCAAATCCTATGAATACACATTGTCTATGGGATAAATTTTCATTTTTATGACATTCTCATAAAAATGAGAGACCGATCGATAAATCATACTCCCAAAAGTGAACGCTTCATCAAGTGTTAAAATAAAAATAGAATAAGTTGGATAGTTATCCCCCTATTTTGATTTATCCTCCAATATTTTTAATTCGAAAATTTTCCAGCCAACTAGTGGAGACTCGCAAACTCAAACAAGAATTCATTCTAACAATAAAATCCCACTCTCCCATAAATTTTAAAAATCACAAACCATATCAGCCAATTCATTAATATAATGCGTCATTTTATTTCTTCGCCTTCTTTCAATTTCACTATGATTTTCACGAGCAAAACGTTCTCTTCCTTCTTGCACATTATTTGGTGGACGTTGTTGACTTAGATTTTGATGGTTGTTTGGTGGACGAGAATTTTGTTGTTGTAATGGTAAATTAATTAAAGGAATTGATCCTTGATCCAACATTTTTTTGGATTTTAAATTGCTAAAAGAAAATTAAAAAAATAATTTTTTAACAGTTAGGGCAATTCGATTCTAGACAAAAAACTTATAGGAACCAGAAAAATCAAGTTGCGGACAAATTACATTGGAAAGACAACTAATCCGAATTGTTGGGATCAATTGTCTCAAGTATCCTTTTTTGTAATATTTTATTAAATCCAAGGTTATAAACTAATAGACTTCCCAAGGGATCAGAATTTCACCAACGTAACCAGTTTAAATTGGAAGAGGACTTTGTCCGCAAAACTTGTCCGCAAAAATAAGCACTTAAGTAAATTCTATTGTGAATCGTCCTACAGCCCCAAAATTAACATTATTACAACAAAAAACGATTTAAAAACATAAAAAATAAATAAAATTGTTCAAAAAACAATTAAAAACTTTTAAAAAATAATAAAAAATTCAATATTTATACCGAAAAATTGTTCAAAAATTCCAATTTTTAATAATATAAAGGATTATGAGTAACCCAATGTGCTCTAGGTTGTTGTTTAGCTTCTTCACTTGTTGTAAATATAGATTTTACACTTTGAGGTAAATCTTTAGAATTTTGAATACTTTTGACTTCTTCGTCTTTTTTGACTTTTTTAGCAACTTCTTTTGGTTTTTCGCCCATTTTTCTTTTTCCTCCACTTCCTTCCTCTTTCTTTTCCATCTTTTTGCGTTTCTTCTCTTCAATTTCTACAGCAATACGTTTTTTGTATAAATCTAGTAATTCATCTTCTGGATTTAATTTTATCAAGTTTTCTTCTTTAAAAGGACCAGAACAGCCTAAAAATAAAAAGAAACTAAAATCTAGACATATTTAATTACACCCTTATTGCTTGTAAGAATTTACCTTAAAAATGATTCCAGGGGTTGAGGAAAACCGGAAATTGTTTCTAACATTTTTTCTAAGTCTCTATTTCAACCTAATATTGTTATCAACTTAACTGTGTCGATTGGAAATGGAACAGAGGGATACCTGGTCTAGAATCAGCCATGGGCTTGCTTGTACATTTATAGTTAAGCTTGTATCTACTAAAGTATAAATGATGGAACGATGTTTACAAAACCAAAAATAAACCAAAAACTCACAAGATGTGAAAGGCGAAAAAAAAACAAAATCCCAAGTGCCTATTCTTGACTAATACCCAGAAAAAGCACTAATGCCCATTTCCAAAATTCAATGTTAGTTCAAAAAGACTATTGAGCCTCAGATTTAAAACCCCTCAAAAAATTGTTAAAAAGAAAACCTAAACAAGCATCAGGTTTTAATTCATTAACAGCCTTTTCAGAAAAAACACATCCACACAACCAATTGACAAAAAAAGCGCTAGTTCCATTCATTGGAAGAGAAGTAATTGGGCATATCCAAGGAGTCTCATTCATGTCGATATAAACATCCCCTTTTTCAGCCCCTTCATTTTTCCAAGCTTTATTATCTACCAACTTTAATTCTTTAACATCACTTAATGAATGGATGTGTTCTGTTGCTTGGTTGGTTGACAATGTTTTGTTCAATTTTGCTTCCAAAATTGCTTCCTTATTGTAAAGTCTGAAAATTTTGTTTAATTAAAGAATAAATTGGGAAGATGTTGAAATTCTTAAAGTCTAAACTTTGGTGGTTTTTAACGCACTTTTAAACTCTCAAAGTCAAAAAAAGTACTGGGAACAATATTTGCCTGAATCTAGGCATAAGAATGCCAATCCAAGGGACACGCCCAAAACGGCGCGCGCCCATAACGGCGCGAAGCCATAACTTGGTTCAAAATTTCCTAATCTTAACACATTTAGTATTAAATGATTCCTCTCATCGAGCTAAGGAGATTGATCCAAAATTGATAAGATCCAGACATTTTTCACCAAGTTATGGCAATGCGCCTTTAAGGCCGTGCGCCGTTTTGGGCTGTACCCCATGTCCATAACCAAGAGGTCCCTAGCGATCCTACAAACCTAATCTAACTAACAAAAAGAGCTCGATTTATTAAAAGAAACCTTCCAAGCTTGCAGGCAACAACAGGCTTCTTTAAAGGTTCTTGCGAAAGTTGACAAGTTCGCCACTTTGTTGCTGCTTCGTAACTCTTTTCAATTTTTTCCTTCTTTTTCTTTTTACGTACAAGTTCACAACGTTTTGGAATAGTTCCTCCATCTGCACCCATTTTTGATTTTTAAATGCTTTAAACTTTAAAAATTATCGCGATTAAAAAAATGTAAAAATCAATGAAAAGGCGCAAAGTACAAAATTAAATTTTCTCGTGTTGTCTCGCTCTAATAATCTCTAAAATGAAATAAAAGTCAAATAGTCGATATTTCAAAATACCAACAAAACTAACACTAAATAATATAAGTCAGAATACCACTAGGGGTAAAATTAGACAAAATGCCATAACGTGAAAATTAGACAAAATGCCACAAAGTGAAAATTTGACAAAATGCCACAACGTGAAAATTAGACAAAATGCCACAAAGTGAAAATTTGACAAAATGCCACAACGTGAAAATTAGACAAAATGCCACAAAGTGCAAAATTGACGAAACGTTATAAATCGAAATCTGACAAAATGCCACAATGTGTAAAATTGGACGAAACGTCACTACCCTTTAACAAGGAGATTCACATCTTGCAAGAATTAAGACGAGGGAGGCTAAGACAAGAATTGAGACTCATGGCTAGATGTCGTATTAAAAATCTTCTAACCACTCAAAAAAGTCAAAAGGAACTAAACTCGAAAGCAAACATTCTCCTTTAATTTTACAACACCAACAAAAACACAATACAAATTACAGCAAAAACAAAATATACAATAGAAACACAATTTAGGTATCATTTTATGTCACTTTTATCATCTTCTTTCATCATCCTCTGCGACTCCGGCGACGAAGAACATTGTTAAGCTTATCTAGCGCAGAATTTATGAGCCCTTCTAATGCGATCCCTAACGAAGCATGAAGTCGTTTGGCCCCCTTTTTCTTCTCCTTCAGCATCCGACGCAGCCCATGTCCCTCCTGACGCAACTCCTTGTTCTCTTGGCGCAGCTCAAAATACTCCCGACGCAACTCCTCGTACCTCCGACGCCGCCGCTCCCGTTTGACCGCCTCCTCTGCCGACTCAGAAACAGCGCGGGCAGTGAAGATTGCTGAAGAGATTGTCGTCGACTCGCCGGGTGAAAAACAGGTAGAATTCTCCGTTGACGATGCGCCCGAGGAAATGCCAGAAGAGCTCGACGAATCGCTAGAAGAATTGTCCATGACTGACTAAAAAATAAAGGAAGAATTAATTTAGAAATAAAAACGGGGAAAAAGAGAAAAAGGTACCTTTGTGATGATGAGCAAAGTTAAAATTTAAAAATTTTAAGCTGTTTTTATAGTATTTTTGTGGATTCTGTTTCTGTCTGTCTGAAGACCTAAGTCTGAATCTGAAGACTAGTCTGAAGACATAAGTTAACTCTGAAGACCTCCACCATGAAGACCTACAAATTTTGAAAGGGATTATCGAGGGATTAAGGGTTCTAGTACTTATTCTACAACTTGTAGTGCTTATCTATGGAGATAAGTGCCCAGTTCTGTATTTTTGAACCTATAATGCGGTTTATGAGAGGGATTTCTTGTTCGCCAAAATTCACCGGATTACTTCACCAGACTAATTCCACCGAACTCGACGAAGTTCACAAAGTGTGAAATTAGACAAACGTGAACAAAGTGTCATTGAAATTTATTTTTTTTATGTTTTTCTTTTTTTTATCCTTTATAAAAAATTAGAAAATTTTTTTTAGTTTTGTTTTGTTATCCCCCTCTCAATGTCACAATCCCCTTTGGGGATTTTAACGGCAAACAAAATTTATATATGTTTTTGAAGATATTGAGTAAGTTTATTTCTTGTTCTTCTCCCTTCTCTTTCCTTCCGGAAAATGAAAAAAGGGAAATGTTTGGCTGCTTCATTTGGCTCTTTTTTTCGAGAGAAGCAAAAATAATATTGATAATATTTTTTTCTAAAAAATGCCAAAAATAAATTTAAAGTCAAAGCAACTCTTCTACATTAACTTGGAAAGTAACTTCACCTCTTCAAATCCCTCTTTTCTTCCTTAAATAACTCCTAATCCCCCAAACATTCTTTAAGCTATCCCAAGTTTGTTATTGAGGGGGATTTGGCAATTCTCTCTCCTTTTGGTTTTTTTGGTGTAGCGCGAGTGTGTTTGGTTTTGGGGTGGAAAGGTCGTGGGTTCGAACCCCGACGTGGAAAATTATTTTTAATTGTGTCGAGAATATTTTTAAAAATTCAGAAAATATTTTTAAAAATTCAGGAATTATTTTTAAAATATACTTTTTTGGTGTAGTGCACGTGTGTTAGGTTTTGGGGTGGAAAGGTTGCAGGTTCGAACCCCGACGTGGGAACTTATTTTTAATTGGGTCGAGAATATTTTAAAAAATTCAGAAATTAATTTTTAAAGTTTTTTTTCTCAATAAGAAATATTTTAAAATTTTAGAATTAATTTAATTTTAATTTTAAAAATCAACTCTTCAAGTCATGGTAGAAGGAGGAATAACACTTGTTAAATACCTACTCTTCTTTGCAAATTTCATACTATGGGTAAGGTTTAAAAAAAATTTTTTTTTTGAAAATCTTAATTTCAAACATTGAATTTTTCGCCAAGATTAAAAAAAAACTCGGGGTAGAAAAACACTGCACCTTTTGGTGTAGTGCAAGTGTGTTTGATTTTAGGGTGGAAAGGTTGCAGGTTCGAATCCCACTCGTGGAAAATCGTTTTTAATTGCGTGGGGAATATTTTTAAAAATTGGGAAATTATTTTAAAAACCCAGAAATTAATTTAAAATTTTTAAATTTTTTTTTAATTTTTTAGAAATTTTTTTAATTAAAAATTTTTTCCAGGTTGTAGGCATTTGTTTTCTCATCTCAGGAATTTTACTACAAATGAAATATTCCGGTTTATTAGACGTTCTAGGTGATGAACGTTTAACTACTCCAGTTATTTTATTAGCTATTGGATGTCTTTTTACTTTATTAGGATTTATTGGTTATTGTGGGGCTATTAGAGAGAATTATTGTTTAACTGTTAGTTTTGCTGTTTTATTAGCTTTACTTTTAATGACTGAAACGGCTATAGCAATTCTTGTTTATGCTTTACATGAACCTTTAAATGAAGTTATTGTTACTCAATTGGCACAGGTTAGTATTTTTTGGAATATTTTTAAGACTGGCTTTTTTGGTGTAGTGGAAGTGTGTTTGATTTTAAGGTGGAAAGGTCGTGGGTTCGAACCCTACTCTGGAAAATTATTTTTAATTTGGCGGTAAAGGGTTTTTGAGCCTATAAAATTTCTCCAAATATTCGATTTTTTGGTGTAGTGGAAGTGTGTTTGATTTTAAGGTGGAAAGGTCGTGGGTTCGAACCCCAGTCGGGAAAATTATTTTTAATCGAAAGAGCAGAATTAGAAAAATTAATAAAAATTTCCAATTTAAGGGAATTGAACGTTACCCAAAATCTAAAGGTGTATCTCTCGCTTGGGATCAAGTACAACGCCAATTTTATTGCTGTGGTGTTAACAATGCCTCTGATTGGAGAGGAACACCTCCAGATTCTTGTTGCACACGCTTCCACAATGGTAATTTAAACCTTTTCATTTTCTTTTAAAAAACCCCCCTCCCCATTTTTAGGATGTGCCAAAATCGTTCAACCCCCACTCTATGAAATTGGATGTGTTGAAGCTGTTCAACGTTGGATAGTTGCTAACGCTATGATATTGGGGTGCATAAGTGCATTTTTGGCTGCACTACAAGTTATTGGAATATGCTTTGCTTGTTGTCTATCGAAAAGCATTTTGAAGGAATTTAATGATTTTTATTACTAAAATTGATTTTTTGGTGTAGTGCGAGTGTGTTTGGTTTTGGGGTGGAAAAGGTCGTGGGTTCGAACCCACTTGGGGAAATTAATTTTAAAATTGGGTAGAGAATATTTTTAAAAATACAGAAAATATTTTTTAAAATTCGGGAATTATTTTTAAATTCGGGAATTATTTTTAAAATACTTTTTTTGGTGTAGTGCAAGTGTGTTTGGTTTTGGGGTGGAAAAGGTCGTGGGTTCGAACCCACTTGGGGAAATTAATTTTAAAATTGGGTAGAGAATATTTTTAAAAATACAGAAAATATTTTTTAAAATTCGGGAATTATTTTTAAATTCGGGAATTATTTTTAAAATACTTTTTTTTTGGTGTAGTGCGAGTGTGTTTGGTTTTGGGGTGGAAAAGGTCGTGGGTTCGAACCCCGACGTGGGAAATTAATTTTAAAATTGGGTAGAGAATATTTTTAAAAATACAGAAAATATTTTTTAAAATTCGGGAATTATTTTTAAATTCGGGAATTATTTTTAAAATACTTTTTTTGGTGTAGTGCAAGTGTGTTTGGTTTTGGGGTGGAAAAGTCGTGGGTTCGAACCCCGCCGTTGAAAATCATTTTTAATTGGATGGGAGGGTGTTAAAAAAGGTCGGAAATTATTTTTTAAGCTTTTAGGAATTTTCTGAAATTTTTTTCAAATTTTTCTACCTCCAAAAAACCTTGAAAAACACCAAAAGTCAACGTTTGCTTAACACTTTTCCATTTTTAAATAAATTTATATCACTAATTAATTAAACAATATTTAGAAATAAAATTTAAAAAGTTCTAAAAATAAAATAACAAACTGAAATAATTGCTCCTCCTAAGCAGACAACAAAAGAATTGAATAATTTGCGTTCCCAAGGTTCCAACATGTAAAGTCCTGTGATTAAACTTGAAAAAAAATTTAATTTTAGAAAAAAAAATTAAAAAATAAATTTACCAATATTGAAGATACCAATAACCGAAAAAGTCATTTTTAACCAATCCAGTGTGTGGCTCTTCAAATTCCATCCATTTTTTGGTGTTTTTATTGGTATTTACTGAAGTCATTTAAATTAAATTTTAATAAATTAATTAATCTAAAGGCATAAAAATTATAGAAACGTGCTTAAAATTTAATTAAAAATATAGAAAAATTAAATAGACAAATCAATCTGATAAATTTGATAATAAAAATTTATTGTTTATCAAAATAATTCTGCTGCAAATTAAATCATGTTGACGATTTGTCTAATTTTGCCCATTGTGGTATTTTGTCTAATTGGTATTTTGTTTATTTGGTAATTTCAGCCAGCGGAAAGATAAAAGAGAGAAAAGAGTGTATTAAAACGAGAGAGACGCAAAGAAGAAGAGATTAGAGAGAAGTAATTTTGTTGACAATTTGTCTATTTTTGCCTTTTGTGGCATTTTGTCTGGTTGTTATTTTGTATATTTGATAATTCACGGAAAATAAAAGACAGAAAAGAGTGTATAAAACTGAGAGAGACACTAAAAAGAAAAGATAGAGAGAAATAATCTTTGTTGCCAATTTGTCTACTTTTGCCCTATGTGGCATTTTGTCCGGTTGTTATTTTGTAAATTTGGTATTCTCAGTAAGAGAAGTGACACAGAAAAATAAGAAAAAAGAGTGTATAAAAATGAGAGAGACAAAAATAAAAGAAAGAAAGAAAGAAATAATCTATTGTTTAAAAAACACTTTGGCGTTTTATTGTTCTCTTATTGACTTTTATTTTTCCTTTTTTTTGTATTTTTATCCGAGGGACCGTCTTATTTTTAATCTTTTGGACTTATTTTTAGATTTAATCTACTAACAAATTGGCTTCTAATCTAAATTTAGTGTATTGACATTAATGGCTTCTTTAATTTTATTTTTATTTCTTTATTTGGACTATGTTTCTGCCTTTGCTTCAAATACGGTTGTAGAGAGTGAGGAATATCAGGTTTTTTTTATTTTTTTTTGTTTAAATTCCCCTTTAAGTTTACCAATGTTAATCCAAAATGTGAGAGGATCAGAATTAAAATGTGTGCGGATATTCAATACAATATGACAATTTATCCAAATTTGTTGAAACATACAAAACAGGAGGAGGCAGAAAGTGATATTGAACAGTTAAGGAAGTTTTTAATTTATTTAAAGAATTTGTTTGGTATTTGTGGTGTAGTTGGTAGTGTTTTGGGTTGGATCTAGGAGGTGATAGGAGAGGCTAGGATTTGGTTTGGTTTCAGGAGGGCCCGGGTCGGTTTTTGATCGAAAAATCGGTGTTTTATTCAGTGTTCTTGGTTTGGTAGTTTTTTTGGTATCTGTGGTTTAGTTGGAAATGTTTCTGTTTGTTTCCTTATTTCGTGGGAGATGACCAAGGTTCGAGTCCTTGACCAAGTAGATGACCCAGTTTCGAGTCCACTCATTGGTTTTTGGTTTTTTTCTGATTCTCCAAGCTTTTTCCTTGTTAAAAAATTTTTTATTTCCAAATTTAACCTTTTAAACAATTTTTTAAAATTTATTAAATACACATTTTTCCTTTTATAAAGGTATGAAATGCTTGTCAATGTTCAATGCAGCCCCGATATTAAATTCTTTTTGTGCACAATTTTTACTCCAGTTTGTACAATTTTGAATGAACCAATCCCTCCATGTAGACATTTATGTTATTCTGCAAAAAATGGTTGTGAAACTATAATGAGGAAATTTGGTTATCCGTGGCCAGAGATTTTTGATTGTGAAAAATTGCCTCATCATAAAGATGCAATGTGTGTAGGGGAAAATAATAATGATGAATTGGAAGAGGATAAAAACAAGAATTTGGATATTTCTCAAATAAATGAACTAAAGGAGGTGAAGAAGGTGTTGGAATGTCCTCATGCTATGAAAGTTTTGGGTTCTCATAGGTTTGTTTTTATAAGTTTTGAGTTTTTCGGGTCTTAAGGTCTCTAATTTTCCTTTTAAAAATTTTAAAAATGAGATGGGAAAAATAAGAAAAGTTTAAAAATTTCATTCGAGGCGGATTTCTTTCTTGATTTCCTTTTTCAAACTTTCAATGTTTCTTGTAATATTAGATAAGCTTAAATCGAAACTCCAGTTTAAAAGTAGAAGGAAAAGACCAAACCTGTTTGGATTTTAAAAATACATAGATCGAGTTGAGTCAGCGTCAGAATTCTAAGGTAGGGTCGGTTCGGGACCCAACCGAAGAACCGATGATTTTTCGGTTCGGTTCCGGATATTCGAAGATTTTCCAAGAACCACAACCCCATTCTAAGGGTTGTGGTTTTTATTGGTTTCTGGCCCACAATCTATTCCTTGTTAAATCCAAAGTCTAAAGTTTTTTTGATTAAACAACTTTAAAAATTAAATTTTCTACAATTTAGCCATTTTCTCTTTATTGCCAACCAAACATTAGAACAATGTTCATTACCTTGCCATAATGATGGTTTAGTGCCCACTTTCTTCACTGCACATATTCGTCATTATCTAAAGCTTTGGACTGGCGCTTGGGCTGTTACTTGTTGTGTTTGTTGTTTATTTACAATTTTTACATTTTTGGTTGATTTGAAAAGGTTTCTTGAGATTTTTTTTTGAAAAAATTTTTCGACAAAATTTGAAAAATTTTTTAAAAATTTGAAAATTTTTTTAAATTAAAAAAAAAATTCAGATATGAATTTCCTGAACGAGCAATTCTTTTTATGGCATTTTCCTATTTTATGGTAAGCTCTGTTTATATGATTGGATTAGTTACTGGCGATCAACTTTCTTGTGCTACCCAATCTGCTACTAAACAACCTTTGGTTACTCAGGTTTTTTAATATTGAAAAAAATTTTTATTGAATGATCTTTTAAGGGAAATGAAAATTTTTGGTGTTCGGCATTGGCTTTGGCACATTTTTATTTTAGGTTATTTTTTATTTTAAATTTTCATTTCCCAATATTTGGGGGAGGGTGATCGTATTGGGAAAGTCAGGTATGAGATGATTTTTAGTCTAGTCTTATTGGGAGAGACCAATTAATTGGGATCAAATGTCATCCCATCCAAAACTTAGTATCAGTATTTTAGGAACCCTTTCTTTTAATCGATCATATCAGGCGGGTAAATGATTGGATTACTAAGTGTAAATATTGGGTGAATTGTCTTATTGAGGAGATCGATTAATTGTGATCAAATGTCATCCCATCTAACTAACAAAAAACCTTTTCATTCTCCATCATAATTAATTTAAAATTGAAATTTTTTAGCTTTGCCGGTTCTCTATGGTGGTTAATTTTATGTTTTTCTTGGTTTCTTGTAACAACATTAAAATGGGGAGAAGTTCCAGTTGGACAAGTCTTTTCTTCTTATTTTAATGCCTTTGCTTGGATTTTACCTTTATTTGGTGTTATTTTCCTAATTATATTTGGAGGAATTGATGGAGATGTATTTACTGGAATATGTTCTGTTGGAAATTTACAACCTTCATTTTTATTTAATTTTAGTGTTCTTCCACAAATTTTGTTGATAGGTTTGGGTTTTTAATTTTTTGGGGTTTTTTGGAAAATTTTTTTGTGAAAATTTTTTTGGAATTTTTTTTAATTTTCCGAATTTTTGTTCAATTTTTGGGGGATTTTTTGAGAAAAAAAAATTTTTGGGTTTCCGAATTTGCCTAGATTTTTTTTTGGTTTTTCTAAAAGATTTCAGACGTCAAAAATTTTTTTTATAATTTTTTTTTGGGTTTTTTTAAACTTTAAGTTTCCGAATTTTTGACTATTCTAATTTTTTTTTATAAATTTTTACTTAATTTTCAAGAAAAAAAAATTCTAAAAATTCTAATTAATTTAAAAAAAATAAATCTAGTTGCCGGCCTAATATTTTTCTCGTCTGGTTTTGTTTCAATTTTACGTATTCGTTCATATATTAAATGCAATAGGTTTGTAACAAATAAATTTGAAAATGCTGAGGCTTCTGAAAAACTTGGAAGAATAATGTTAAGAATTACTTGTTTTTCTCTTTTATATGTTTTGCCAATGTTTGTGAGTTGTTATTGTTCATATTATCAAACAATTAATATGGAGGCATGGTTGACTAATTGGTGAGAGAAATTGAGAAATGTTTTAATTTAATTCTGATTTTTTTATTAAAGGTATTCAACACGTTGTTTACATGGTAATTTTAATATGTTTTTATTTTGTTCTGGTTTTTGTGTGTTTATTCGTGTTTTTATTTAAAATTAAAAACAAATAAAAATCAGAATTTTATTTAAACATATAAAAATCAGAACTTTATTTGAACAAATAAAAACCAGAATTTTATTTAAACAAATAAAAATCAGAATATTATTCGAACAAATAAAAATCAGAATTTTAATGAAACAAATATGTAAATCAGAATTTTATTTGAACAAATAAAAATCAGAATTTTATTTGAACAAATAAAAATCAGAATTATCTGAACAAATAAAAATCAGAATTTTAATAAAACAAATAAGAATCAGAATTTTATTTGAACAAGTAAATATAGGTCAGAATGTTTGTGTTTTCTGCTACTTTGTTTTGTTTTTATAAATTAAACTTTAAATCAGAATTTTATAAAAACATCAAGTTTGAATTATTATTTTCTAAGTTAAAGATACTTCTGACACGAAATTAAATTCTGATTTTTATTTTTTTTATTTTTTCTGTGTGCTGAACAAACAATCAAAAAGCACCTAGAAAATTAAAATATCATTTATCAAATTATTTTTTTAGCACAAAGAGCCGTATTTGGATTTACTCAACAAAGAGATTATTGCCCAATTACGGATCAAATTGAATTAGAAAACCAACCTGGCCCTCTTCTCTTCTTCCTCAAATATTTGGCCAATTTTACTGTTGGAATAGCTTGTGCTGTTTGGACATTAAATGGGAAAACTGTTGTAATTTATGGAGAATTTATGTCGCGTCTATGTATGGGTAAGGAGAATAATAGAGGAAGGCCTACACGTTTGCCAACTCGAGTTCATTAAAAATTGAATTTTATTGCAATAAGAATGTTGAGGGTGGTGGTCTTTTTAAAGAGGTTTTTTTTTAATTTTTTCTGGTTCCTGTTTTTCTCTGGTTTTTTTGGGAATTTATGGTTTGCCAACTTAATGTTTTGCCAACTCCATATCCCCTCATTCCGTAAAAAAAGAAAAAAAAATTTCTCCGTCCCCGTCCACCACCTTGGCGTCGCCTTTTTGAGAAGTTATCCCCGTAGGCTTTCCCCTTGTCGGGGATCAACCCTAGTTTTGTTAAAATTCTGATTTTTAATATATTTATTGGGACTACCGCGACTACCCTCGATACTTTCTCTTTAAAAATAATTAGCGCCTATATTTTTTGTATTTTTTAACTCAATAATTCGTTGCCATATATTTTTTTATTTTAAAAACTACTTACTCTTTATTTGATATTCTTGCTTTCAATTTTTCTAAAAAAAAATTTTTTTTGCTTTTATCTTGCTTTTTAACTATTTTTTCTTGATATTTGTACAAAAATCTTTCGCTTAATTTTAATTTTTTTTCCTCAATACCAGGGATGTGTCGGACAACGAATCACATTCAGAGACATTCAGGGACATTTTCTTTTTAAAAAATAAATTTTTTATCTGATCGCCGAAACCCGGCCTTTCATTCCGACAATGAACCTCGATCCGCGAATTTTTTTTCATTCTGACCTATCCCTGGTTTTATAACTTAAATGAACAGGGTTTTAAATGTTCTTTCTCTATATTTTAGTCTCAAATTCAGGGACATTTTTTTTCTCTTTTTTAAAAAAATAAATTTTTGATTGTATTAATTTATTTTATTATTTTATTAGGAAATTTTTTTAAATCCTTAAAAAAAATTTTTTACAAATTTTTAAATAATTAATTTATTTTTGATTTAATTTTAAATTGATGTCGAGCGGAAAAAGACGTAATCCTTTAAATCTAAGCCTTCCTCCAACTGTAAATGAAGAAGGGTTGGCTAATGATGTTTCTGCTACAGAAGAAAATGAAGGAGGAAGAGGAGAAGGTGGTGGAGGGGGAGGACAAGGACAACAAACAACAGCTAAAGGAACGGGTACTCCACCTACAACAATGATGTTGGATTCTCAATTAAAACAATTAAGCTTGTCTGGAGCACAAATTGAAAGGATGAATGAATGGATTAATTTGAAAAAACAGGTTTTTAATTTGTTAAAAAAATTTTCTGGTTAAGGGGTTATCCTGTCGGTTTTTTTGTAAGTTTGTCAGATTTTTAAGTATGTAAGGTAAGGGGAGACAACACTCACTAAACGGGAATTTAAGACTTAAAAAGAAGGTGAAAGCAGCTTCCCGGTAGTTCACCGATAGACTGGGGGCTATTGGGTACTAAGAGCTTATAGCAATAACTGCTAGCAGGTTACAGAATCGATGCTTGCTCGTGGGTAGACTTTTTATACCTCTCTCATAAAACTGTTATTGTTTATTTTTTCATCCTTTCATAATTGTATAAATCTCATTTTTAAATTAAATAAATTCTAAAACAAATTTACCTCAAAAAAATTATTTTTAAAGATTGGAGAATTAAGTGATGATGTTCTCGAACGTATTTGTGATTTGGGACATGGCAATGGAGGTGTTGTTCATAAAATGCGTCATTCAAAAACTGGTGTAGTTTTGGCTAGAAAATTGGTTCATTTGGAAGTTAAACCTTCTGTTCGTAATCAAATACTTAAAGAATTGGAAGTTTTACACAAATGTAATAGTCCGTATATTGTTGGTTAGTTTTCTTATTTTTATTTTTAAATTGGAAGCCTCACCTATTTTTCTTAACTTTTTTGGAGAGGAAAAGGAGTATAGGCTTTGTTTGAGAATAAAGTCGAATTGAGGTTTTGGTCGGATTTTCTAAGATTGTCTGATACTCTAAATTTTGGGCAGGGGATCGTGTGAGGTTTCTTTACCAGGTAACTTGGAATTAGTGTCGGGGAATTTACCCGAAGCCTGTTAGCAGGTCTTTTGACACGAACCCCGATACGAAGAAAATTTTGAAAACTCAAACTGAAACCCGTTACCCAAACTTTTTCAAACTTGCCTATCCCTGATACATTAACAAACACAAGATTATCCCTATTTTCTCTTTCTAATTAATTTTTAAAATTTAATTCTTCTAAAAAATTTCTCAATCCAAAAATTTTCTCATCAGGTTTTTATGGTGCTTTTACAACAAATAACGATATTTCAATATGTATGGAATTTATGGATGGACTTTCACTTGATATTGTTTTACAGACTGTTGGTCGAATAAATGAAAAATTGGTTGGACGTATTGCAATTGCTGTAATTGATGGACTTACTTATCTTAAAGAGCAGTTTAATATACTTCATAGAGGTTTAAAATTTTTTAAAATTTTTTTTTGAAATTTTTGGTAAAATTTTTGGGGCCGTAGGATGTTTTTATAGAATTTTTTTTTAATTTTTTACATAAAAATTTTTTTTTAAATTTTTTTGGGGTCGAAGGAAATTTTTTTGAAAATTTTTTTTAATTTTTGGGATCTTAGAAATTTCCGTAAAGTAAAAATTTCTAACAAACAAAAAACTTAATTATTCAATTTTAAAAATAATATGGCTAGGTAAATTTAAGGAATATAGGCTAACTTGGGGGATGTCGGTTGTTGGAAAATCTTGGATATGTATTCGGTGTTGAACGAAGGAAAAAATTTTTTTGAGAAAGAAATTTTAGGAAGAACCAAACTGAAAAAATTTTTCTTTTTTACCTTCCGAACCGACAACCCTACAAATAACAAATAGAATATTTTTAGAAAAAAAATGCCTGATTAAGACAACAAGTTAAGAAAATAATTTTTTGAGGGGTAAATTACAAGAATAATTTTTTAGGGATTTTCTTAAGGGGGAGATATTTACACACAATTACTAATCATTTTTAATAAATTAATCTTCATCTTCTTTTATCTTCTTTTATAATACATTCACATTATTTTCAATTTTATTTTCTTCTTCTTTTTTCTCTTCTTGTTTTCCTCCTTCCTTATCTTCAAGTTTTTCTTCAACTTTTACTTCTTCAACTTTTACTTCTTCAACAATTGATGGCGATTTTTCTCCTTCTTTATTTTCTCCCTCTTTGTTCTCTCCCTCTTTGTTTTCCTCCTTAACTTCTTCTGCTGGCTTCTTTTTTGGTTTTACTTTATATATTGTTTCAATTTCAACCGAATCTTCCTCTTCTTCATAATAATCCATTGAAACATATATTATAGCAATTATAATAGCCAAAAGGATCAGAACACCAACAACAGCCCCAATAATTATCCAAACTTTTGTGGTGAAGAATTTTGTTTTTGGAGGATAAGTTGTTTTACTTGGTGGTTTTGGTCTTGGAATAATTTTTGTGCGTTTTGTTGGAAAAGTTAGAGTATACCAAGGACGTGGTGGAACAGTACGAGGAGGCAATGTTGGAGGAGTTGGAAATGGTGGAAGAGTCCATTCAGGTTCTTCAGTTTCTATAGCTTCGGTAGTTTCTTCTTCTGTTGTGAACATTGTAGTAGTCTCGTCTTCTTCTGTTGTAAGAGTTGTTTCGTTTGAAGATGTAAAAGTGCCATTTGTTGAATTCAAAAGTCCCATCTGTTGAATCCATGTATTATTTGTGGATGTCAAGTTTTTTGAAATTTCTTCTATTGGTTTCTTTGTTTTTCCGGTAGATTTTGTATTGGTTTTGGATGGAGTTGTAGCCGTTTTGATGATTGGTTTGGAGTTTGTAGTTTTAACAGTGGTTGATTTGGTGGGTTTTGAAGTTGGCTTTTTAGTGGTTGTTGGGGTTGTAGGTTTTTTGGTTGTGGTTGTTGTGGTGGGAGTTGTGGTTGTTGTGGTGGGAGTTGTGGTTGTTGTACTTGTGGTCGAACTTGTTGTACTTGTGGTAGAGGTGGTTGAAGTTGTACTTGTTGTGGAAGAGGTTGAAGTTGGTGTCGTAGTTGTGGTGGTTGGTTCAGAGAGAGTCAACAAAGTATAGTTATTTTTTGACTAAATTTTTGAAAAAAATTTTTTTTTAAATTAACAAAAATTCCCTTACAAATATTATACTGAGTTGATCACATTCTGGCCCATCTGGCGATTTTTCCAAAACTTTTGGATTGTTTGTATAATTCAAATCCAGCATTCTTGTTGCTTTTTGAGGAAGAAGATGGAACACTAACAAAAACTTGTATTTATCATTTGGACTAGTTCCATTGATTTCCCATGTTTTTGGGGAGATGATGCTTTCCGTAGAGTTGTGTAAGCATGTAAAATTGTTCTCCAAAAAATTTTCTTCTACAAAAAATTCTCCAAAAACTCCTTCACCAGAAGAAAACTTGACCGAATATCTATCCGTATTTTGATGGATCTTCACTATTGGGTAGTCTTTTTGTGTCTGAATTGATGACATGTTTGTACCGGTTAAGTGATAAGAAAGGCTGCCAACTGAAAATTTTTTAAAAAAAATTAAAAAATTTTTTTTGAAATTTTTTCAAGGGATTTCTACTTGGATTAACAGACAGCTCAATTCCATCATCCACAGCTTTCCATCTAACTTCAAGACTAGTCATTTCGATACATTTGCTTATTAAACATCCTTTATAGCACCTCTTGTCAGAATCGTTAAGAATTGGACCTTGTTGAATTTTTTTGATTTGGGCGCTTGAAAGGCTGTAGGCAAAAGGTAAACTGAAAAAGAAAATTTTGGTTTGGATTTGAGAAAAATTTTTTTTCACGTGTTATTGTTAAAGTCTTGAGTCAAACACTTGGAATAACTCGAAGAATGATTCAATCCTGTAGCAAATTCAATCGCATTTTCTATATTTGTTAAAAGATCCAATGTACAGCCAAGGTTTGCTGAAGAACTATTTTTGGAGTAGAAAAGCTTTCTGAAAAATAAAAAAAAATTTTTTTTGATAAAAAAAATTCAAAAATTTACATATTTCCATCATTATCCAACTCAACATCACATGCTTCAAGAAAGCGTTCCTTGTATTTTTCCATGTCCTCTTTTGTTTTTGCAATTTTTGATCCTTCAACAAGTGTTACAATTCCTTCTGTTAAACTGTGCTTTGCTAAGCCGACAATTTCGTTTTTTGCTTCTTCGGTGTTGATTTGTCCAAGTAGATGAACAACAAAAACAACAACAAGGAGGAGAGCTTTGAAAGAGGTGAACGACGACATTTTCTACTTTTTTCCTAAAGAAAAAAGTGTTTCACTAATAATTTGTTGAAGTTGAAGTGACTGTTGATGTTGGGAGGGTTTTTCGATGATATTTGTGGTGGAGAATGACTAATGTTTTGTTGCTTTTATAGTATTGTTAATGTGAGCAGTTTTGTAAACTTTAAAACTTATTTGTTATTTGCAAATCAGAATTTAATTAAAACTTGTTTGTCTATTCAGTCAATAATGTTTTTGAAAAAATCAGAACTTAATTAAAACACATTTATTAAAGTTTGTTTTATACTTATGGAAAAATTTAAAACCAGAATTTATAAGACTTAAAATTAAACTATTAAACCCAGAACATAAATGTTCTTATTTTTAATACTAATCAGAATTTTATTAAACATACAAAAACACCTTTAAGTTAACAATATTGAACATCAGAATTTTTGTAAAACATGTAATTCTAAAAATAAAAAAAAAACCAGAATTTCATCTGAACATTTAAAAACTCGGTATTGCACGCCAGAATTTTTTAAATAAATTAACGTATCAGAATTTTATCTGAACATTTAAAAACATCTAATTTAATATTTTATTTTTATTAAGATGTAAAACCATCAAACATGTTAGTTAATAGTAGAGGTGAAATTAAACTTTGCGATTTTGGTGTTTCTTGCATGCTTATCGTAAAATTATTTTTACTAGATTAAGAAAATATTTTTTAAATTTATAGGATAGTATGGCTAATTCTTTTGTTGGCACACGTTCATATATGGCGGTGAATTTTTTTTCATTGAAAAAAAATTTTTTCAAAAAAAAATTTTTTTCAAAAAAAATTTTTTTATAGCCAGAACGTTTAACCGGCGCTCGTTATAGTATCCACTCAGATGTTTGGAGCTTTGGATTATCTTTAGTTGAACTAGTTATTGGACGTTACCCTATCCCTTCTCCAAGTAGACGTGAATATGCAAAAATATTTGGTATTAGAGTTGAAGAAGTTGTGTTAGATTTACAACAAAATGGACAAGAAGAAACTTCATCGAGTATAGATGACACTTCGCCTAAAACAATGGCTATTTTTGAATTGCTTGATTATATAGTAAATCGAGTAGGTGTTAATTTTGAATAATCAAATTAAAAAAACCAGAATTTTGGGTTTACAACTAAACCAGAATTTTTTTATGAACATTGAAAAAATCGAAAATAAAAACCAGAATTTTTTTAAAATAATATCAGAATTCCTTTTAAACATTCAATAAGCGTATCAGAATTTTATCTGAACATTTAAATAAATCACCAGATTAACAATATTAGAGACCAGAATTTTTGTAAAACATGCAATTCTAAAAATAAAAAAACCAGAATTTTATCTAAACATAAGCTTCTTTTTTTTCTTTACAGCCTCCCCCAGTTCTCCCTCGTCGTATTTTCTCTGATCACTTTGTTGATTTTGTTAATAAATGTTTAAAGAAAAAAGTTACAGAACGTCCAAATCTTGCTGGTTTAGCTGAAGAACCTTTTTACAAAGAACATTCTGCAATGGATGATAGTGCTGAATTTGCGAAATGGGTACAATCTGTTATTGATTTGTATGTTTTTTTCTGATTTTTTTAAATTCTGATTAATTTTCAGAAGGAATAGAAACTTCCCTACTGGTTAATTAAAAGCGAAACTCTTCTAAATTTCTGATTTTTTATTCTTCAAAAATATAGTCAAAAAAAAAAGAATTATTATAAGAATGAAAGGAAAATGATATTTTTCCTATCATTTTTGTGTGTATTATTTTTCAGCTATCTTTTTTCTCATTTTTTACAATTTGACTCTCGTCTGTATTCTCATCTTTCCAATCATCTGAAAGTATAATAAAACATTTTAGTTTTAAAACATGTTTTTAAAAGTAAATAAAACAATGTTTTTATAAAATTCTGATTTTATATTATGATTTTAGCTAAGTTTTGTTTGTATTCTGGTTTTTAAGTTTTATTAATATTCTGATTTTAAGCTCTCTTAAAAACATCTTCCAGAATTGTAAAACAAGTTTTAGAGAGTTTGTTTTAATTAAGTTCTGATTTTATATTCTGATTTTAATTAAGTTTTATTTTTCTGATTTAAATTCCTTAAAAACATTTCTCAAAATTGTAAAACAAGTTTTAATGAGCATTTTTGTTTTAATTAAGTTCTGATTTTACAATTCTGATTTTTTAAAACATTTTTGACTATAACAAACAAGTTTTAAATAAACTTTTACCGTCTAACAAAGTTGTATTTACATATTTCTTTAATTCTGGTTGTTCTTCATTTATTCTGTCTTTATAATACCACATTACACACAGAATAGTGAGGACAGCTATTATTGGTATAAAAAATTGTAGTCCTAAAATTAAAATAAAAAAAATTTTTCTAACAAATTTACCTTCTACTATTGAATAAACAACATCCATTTACATAAATATCCTTTAAAAAAGTAGCTAAAGGAAATAAAAAAAGCAGCCTTTTGTCACACTAACTTGAAGCTTTTTTGCTATGGATTGTTTAAAAAATATATAGGGAAAGGGATAAAATAGATAAAATAAAAAAAGGGCCTAAAAGTGTGTAGGAGACTTAAAATAATTTTAGGGGAAATATAAAAGTTTAAAAAATTAAAAAAAAAATAAAAAATATTTTCAATTATTTTATTTCGAACAATGAATACAGCTTTAATTGTATTATGTATAAAATCAGAATTCAGAATTATAAATCAGAATTCAATTAAGTTGACAATTAGGGAAACATCATAAACTTTAAATCAGAATTAAAAATAAACAAGTTTAATTAAGTTTTATTTATGTTCTGATTTTGGATTTTTGTAAAAACATCTTTCAGAATTGTAAAACATGTTTTAATCAACATTTTTGTTTTAATTAAATTCTGATTTATAATTCTGATTTTTTTAAACATTTTAACTTACAAATAAGTTTTTAAATTCAGAACTTGAATCAGAATTTTAAATGAACAAAAACTTAAGTTAACTAACTTAAGTTTACAATTATAATAATGCTTCCCCCAAGTTGTCAATTTAAAATTATTATAAACTACAAAACATATTAATAGAAAATATTTTCTTTTAATCACTTTGGTAACTCGGCTTGGGCAGCGCTTTTAAAAGATGACCGAATTAATCGAGAATTTGCTGGCTGAAGAGGACGATTATTAAGTAGAGGTTGTTCTACCTCGTCTTCCTGTCGACTTTTGCGTAATTCACGAAGTTTTTCTAGTTGATTTGAAGATATTGATATTGCAGAACGGCAAATTAACCATTGAACCTTTTAAAAAAATCAGAAAAATTAATAAAGTTCTGATTTAAATTAACTGTCTCTCGAAAAGGTTCAACAGCTTCAGACCCCTCATAGAACCAGAATTCTTTGCTCTTCTCCAAGGGAACAAGCTGGGAAGCTTTAAAACCCTCAGAGAGTGAACATTCTGTGCCTGCATATTTTATATGAGAAAGAACGTTAATTAATGGATTTAGTGTTGGATTGTCGTCGTGAGTTTCCTGTAAAGTAAAAAAAATCAGAAAAAATCAGAATTTAAAAAATAAAATAGGAAATCAGAATTTTAATGTCAAACTTGAAAAATCAGAATTTTAGAAATCAGAATTTTCTCAAAACATTTCTATTAAAAACCAGAATTTAAAACAAACATTTAAGAAAACAGCAATAAACAAAGTTCCTTGTTCCTCTGGATGTTTTAATGCCTCAGTCATGTTTGGGAACTTTATGTTTCTATGAACAATATGTATTTCTCCAGCATATCCAACACCGGCAATTGTGTGCTATTTAATTTTAATGTTTTTTTCTGACTTTTAGAGACTATTAATTTACCAAACTTCCATTCATTGGTTCTGTCCCCCAATGAAAAAGAATTTGTTCTAATTGGAATTGTTGTCCTTCTAAAAAGGAGCATTCAAAGGAAGAATTTCCTTCTTTCTGTTGTTCAACTCCATTTATTTCTGTTGTATTATTTAAATTATTAGGCCAACGAACACTTAATCCTCCATATTGACCCAAATTTTCGACTGTTAATTTTACAGAATTATCGTAGTTAAGCTTAAACGTAGCATTTTCTAAACTGGGATCAAATGCTGTAATGGCAGGTAATAAGTCGATGGGTGATTGTTTTGGGCTAACATTTGCCTGAAAATGTTTGTTTGATTTTTTTAAATGTTTGTTTAAAATTTTGAAATGTTTGTTTAAAATTCTGAATTTTAATATGTTCATTTAAAATTCTGAAATAAAACATGTTTATTTAAAGTTCTGAAATTTAGAATGTTTATTTCGAATTCTGAAAATATATTTGTTTATTAATAATTCTGAAATTGTTTGTTCTTTTAAAATTCTGAAATTAAACTTGTTTGTTTAAAGTTCTGATTTTAAGGTTGTTTATTTAAAATATTGGTAATTCAGGTTTATTAAAAAATAAACTTGTTCATTTAAAATTCTGATATGTAAATTATACAAAATAAACTTGAAATAAAACAAATTTATTTTTAAATTCTGATTTTTTAATTCTGATTTAACTTGCCTGTAATATTTTAGTTAATGTGTCTAACTGTGCTGTGCATTTATTAAATACGGGCAATAAATTTTGTTTAGCTTTATTCGTTGCTTGATTTGCTTGTTCTAAAACAGCTGAAACTTGTGGCATTGATTTTGTTTTAATTTCTTGTAGCTTTGTTTGTATTTGGTTTAAAAATGCCATTTTTCTGTTGTTGATGGGAAATTTAATTTTTTAAAAAAATTCTCTTAAAAATGGAATGAAGAAGCCGACTTAATTAACATAAGTAAAATGAGAGGATTTTAAAAGGAGAAGGAAATTTTTTTTTAATTTATGGGTATTAGAATATATTTTATTTGTATTGACTAGAAGCAATAAATAAATAGTCAATGTTTTTAATTAAATTCTGATATTTTAAGAATTAAATTCTGGTTTTAACAAACAAGTTTAAATAATAATTATAAGTTTGTTCATTTGAAATT